AGTCATCTTGTCTGTCTTTAGTCCAGGAGAAAGTGTGTATTGGTAGTCATCTTGTCTGTCTTTAGTCCAGGAGAAAGTCATCTTGTCTGTCTTTAGTCCAGGAGAAAGTGTGTATTGATAGTCATCTTTTCTGTCTTTAGTCCAGGAGAAAGTCATCTTGTCTGTCTTTAGTCCAGGAGAAAGTGTGTATTGGTAGTCATCTTGTCTGTCTTTAGTCCAGGAGAAAGTGTGTATTGGTAGTCATCTTTTCTGTCATTAGTCCAGGAGAAAGTGTGTATTGGTAGTCATCTTGTCTGTCTTTAGTCCAGGAGAAAGTGTGTATTGGTAATCATCTTGTCTGTCTTAAGTCCAGGAGAAAGTGTGTATTGATAGTCATCTTTTCTGTCTTTAGCCCAGGAGAAAGTCATCTTGTCTGTCTTTAGTCCAGGAGAAAGTGTGTATTGATAGTCATCTTTTCTGTCTTTAGTCCAGGAGAAAGTCATCTTGTCTGTCTTAAGTCCAGGAGAAAGTGTGTATTGGTAGTCATCTTTTCTGTCTTTAGTCCAGGAGAAAGTGTGTATTGATAGTCATCTTGTCTGTCTTTAGTCCAGGAGAAAGTGTGTATTGAAAGTCATCTTGTCTGTCTTTAGTCCAGGAGAAAGTGTGTATTGGTAGTCATCTTTTCTGTCATTAGTCCAGGAGAAAGTCATCTTGTCTGTCTTGAGTCCAGGAGAAAGTGTGTATTGGTAGTCATCTTGTCTTTCCTTAGTCCAGGAGAAAGTGTGTATTGGTAGTAATCTTGTCTGTCTTTAGTCCAGGAGAAAGTCATCTTGTCTGTCTTTAGTCCAGGAGAAAGTGTGTATTGATAGTCATCTTGTCTGTCTTTAGTCCAGGAGAAAGTGTGTATTGGTAGTCATCTTTTCTGTCTTTAGTCCAGGAGAAAGTGTGTATTAATAGTCATCTTGTCTGTCTTCAGTCCAGGAGAAAGTGTGTATTGAAAGTCATCTTGTCTGTCTTTAGTCCAGGAGAAAGTGTGTATTGATAGTCATCTTGTCTGTCTTTAGTCCAGGAGAAAGTGTGTATTGAAAGTCATCTTGTCTGTCTTAAGTCCAGGAGAAAGTGTGTATTGGTAGTCATCTTTTCTGTCATTAGTCCAGGAGAAAGTCATCTTGTCTGTCTTAAGTCCAGGAGAAAGTGTGTATTGATAGTCATCTTTTCTGTCTTTAGTCCAGGAGAAAGTCATCTTGTCTGTCTTTAGTCCAGGAGAAAGTGTGTATTGGTAGTCATCTTGTCTTTCTTTAGTCCAGGAGAAAGGGTGGATTGGTAGTCATCTTGTCTGTCTTTAGTCCAGGAGAAAGTGTGTATTGGTAGTCATCTTTTCTGTCATTAGTCCAGGAGAAAGTTATCTTGTCTGTCTTAAGTCCAGGAGAAAGTCATCTTGTCTGTCTTTAGTCCAGGAGAAAGTGTGTATTGGTAGTCATCTTGTCTGTCTTTAGTCCAGGAGAAAGTGTGTATTGGTAGTCATCTTTTCTGTCATTAGTCCAGGAGAAAGTCATCTTTTCTGTCTTTAGTCCAGGAGAAAGTCATCTTGTCTGTCTTTAGTCCAGGAGAAAGTGTGTATTGGTAGTCATCTTGTCTGTCTTTAGTCCAGGAGAAAGTGTGTATTGGTAGTCATCTTGTCTGTCTTTAGTCCAGGAGAAAGTCATCTTGTCTGTCTTTAGTCCAGGAGAAAGTGTGTATTGATAGTCATCTTGTCTGTCTTTAGTCCAGGAGAAAGTGTGTATTGGTAGTCATCTTTTCTGTCTTTAGTCCAGGAGAAAGTGTGTATTAATAGTCATCTTGTCTGTCTTCAGTCCAGGAGAAAGTGTGTATTGAAAGTCATCTTGTCTGTCTTTAGTCCAGGAGAAAGTGTGTATTGATAGTCATCTTGTCTGTCTTTAGTCCAGGAGAAAGGGTGTATTGATAGTCATCTTGTCTGTCTTTAGTCCAGGAGAAAGTGTGTATTGGTAGTCATCTTTTCTGTCATTAGTCCAGGAGAAAGTGTGTATTGGTAGTCATCTTTTCTGTCATTAGTCCAGGAGAAAGTGTGTATTGGTAGTCATCTTGTCTGTCTTTAGTCCAGGAGAAAGTGTGTATTGGTAATCATCTTGTCTGTCTTAAGTCCAGGAGAAAGTGTGTATTGATAGTCATCTTTTCTGTCATTAGTCCAGGAGAAAGTCATCTTGTCTGTCTTAAGTCCAGGAGAAAGTGTGTATTGATAGTCATCTTTTCTGTCTTTAGTCCAGGAGAAAGTCATCTTGTCTGTCTTTAGTCCAGGAGAAAGTGTGTATTGGTAGTCATCTTGTCTTTCTTTCGTCCAGGAGAAAGGGTGTATTGGTAGTCATCTTGTCTGTCTTTAGTCCAGGAGAAAGTGTGTATTGGTAGTCATCTTTTCTGTCATTAGTCCAGGAGAAAGTCATCTTGTCTGTCTTAAGTCCAGGAGAAAGTGTGTCTTGATAGTCATCTTTTCTGTCTTTAGTCCAGGAGAAAGTCATCTTGTCTGTCTTTAGTCCAGGAGAAAGTGTGTATTGGTAGTCATCTTGTCTGTCTTTAGTCCAGGAGAAAGTGTGTATTGGTAATCATCTTGTCTGTCTTAAGTCCAGGAGAAAGTGTGTATTGATAGTCATCTTTTCTGTCATTAGTCCAGGAGAAAGTCATCTTGTCTGTCTTAAGTCCAGGAGAAAGTGTGTATTGATAGTCATCTTTTCTGTCTTTAGTCCAGGAGAAAGTCATCTTGTCTGTCTTTAGTCCAGGAGAAAGTGTGTATTGGTAGTCATCTTGTCTTTCTTTCGTCCAGGAGAAAGGGTGTATTGGTAGTCATCTTGTCTGTCTTTAGTCCAGGAGAAAGTGTGTATTGGTAGTCATCTTTTCTGTCATTAGTCCAGGAGAAAGTCATCTTGTCTGTCTTAAGTCCAGGAGAAAGTGTGTCTTGATAGTCATCTTTTCTGTCTTTAGTCCAGGAGAAAGTCATCTTGTCTGTCTTTAGTCCAGGAGAAAGTGTGTATTGGTAGTCATCTTGTCTGTCTTTAGTCCAGGAGAAAGTGTGTATTGGTAGTCATCTTTTCTGTCATTAGTCCAGGAGAAAGTGTGTATTGGTAGTCATCTTTTCTGTCATTAGTCCAGGATAAAGTGTGTATTGGTAGTCATCTTGTCTGTCTTTAGTCCAGGAGAAAGTGTGTATTGGTAATCATCTTGTCTGTCTTAAGTCCAGGAGAAAGTGTGTATTGATAGTCATCTTGTCTGTCTTTAGTCCAGGAGAAAGTGTGTATTGGTAGTCATCTTTTCTGTCTTTAGTCCAGGAGAAAGTGTGTATTGATAGTCATCTTGTCTGTCTTCAGTCCAGGAGAAAGTCATCTTGTCTGTCTTTAGTCCAGGAGAAAGTGTGTATTGGTAGTCATCTTGTCTGTCTTTAGTCCAGGAGAAAGTGTGTATTGGTAGTCATCTTTTCTGTCATTAGTCCAGGAGAAAGTGTGTATTGGTAGTCATCTTTTCTGTCATTAGTCCAGGATAAAGTGTGTATTGGTAGTCATCTTGTCTGTCTTTAGTCCAGGAGAAAGTGTGTATTGGTAATCATCTTGTCTGTCTTAAGTCCAGGAGAAAGTGTGTATTGATAGTCATCTTGTCTGTCTTTAGTCCAGGAGAAAGTCATCTTGTCTGTCTTTAGTCCAGGAGAAAGTGTGTATTGGTAGTCATCTTGTCTGTCTTTAGTCCAGGAGAAAGTCATCTTGTCTGTCTTTAGTCCAGGAGAAAGTGTGTAATGATAGTCATCTTTTCTGTCTTTAGTCCAGGAGAAAGTCATCTTGTCTGTCTTTAGTCCAGGAGAAAGTGTGTATTGGTAGTCATCTTGTCTGTCTTTAGTCCAGGAGAAAGTGTGTATTGATAGTCATCTTATCTGTCTTTAGTCCAGGAGAAAGTGTGTATTGGTAGTCATCTTGTCTGTCTTTAGTCCAGGAGAAAGTGTGTATTGGTAGTCATCTTGTCTGTCTTAAGTCCAGGAGAAAGTGTGTATTGGTAGTTATCTTGTCTGTCTTTAGTCCAGGAGAAAGTGTGTATTGGTAGTCATCTTGTCTGTCTTAAGTCCAGGAGAAAGTGTGTATTGATAGTCATCTTGTCTGTCTTAAGTCCAGGAGAAAGTGTGTATTGGTAGTCATCTTTTCTGTCTTTAGTCCAGGAGAAAGTGTGTATTAATAGTCATCTTGTCTGTCTTCAGTCCAGGAGAAAGTGTGTATTGATAGTCATCTTGTCTGTCTTTAGTCCAGGAGAAAGTCATCTTGTCTGTCTTTATTCCAGGACTAAGTGTGTATGTCTTTATTCCAGGACTAAGTGTGTATTGGCAGTCATCTAGTCTGTCTTTAGTCCAGGAGAAAGTCATCTTGTCTGTCTTTAGTCCAGGAGAAAGTGTGTATTGGCAGTCATCTTGTCTGTCTTTAGTCCAGGAGAAAGTCATCTTGTCTGTCTTTAGTCCAGGAGAAAGTGTGTATTGGTAGTCATCTTGTCTGTCTTTAGTCCAGGACTAAGTGTGTATTGATAGTCATATTGTCTGTCTTTAGTCCAGGAGAAAGTCATCTTGTCTGTCTTCAGTCCAGGAGAAAGTGTGTATTGATAGTCATCTTGTCTGTCTTTAGTCCAGGAGAAAGTGTGTATGGTTAGTCATCTTGTCGGTCTTTAGTCCAGGAGAAAGTCAACTTGTCTGTCTTTAGTCCAGGAGAAAGTGTGTATTGATAGTCATCTAATCTGTCTTTATTCCAGGACTAAGTGTGTATTGATAGTCATCTTGTCTGTCTTTAGTCCAGGAGAAAGTCATCTTGTCTGTCTTTAGTCCAGGAGAAAGTGTGTATTGGCAGTCATCTTGTCTGTCTTTAGTCCAGGAGAAAGTCATCTTGTCTGTCTTTAGTCCAGGAGAAAGTGTGTATTGGTAGTCATCTTGTCTGTCTTTAGTCCAGGAGAAAGTGTGTATTGATAGTCATCTTATCTGTCTTTAGTCCAGGAGAGCTCATGGAGTGGAACTACAAGGCAACATAGTGATCTTCGATGAAGCACACAACTTGGTAAGTTGATCTATGTTTAATCAAGTCAGCCTATGTGATGCCCTGCTTGTCTGGCATCCTGCAGTATCAGCGGCATCTCCTCAGACAACACTGAACCAGTGAAGGTGAAACTACACAGGCTTGTTCCCACCAATGATGACACCTGCATTTGTCCAGTTTTCAATATGGCTGAATGTGGTTGAAGCAGGTATGTAGTGCCATTACTCAGCAAATTCTGTTCACACTGCAATTAAAATTGGGTCTAGAAGCAGTATGAATCAACATATGTAAGTCCTGTGTGATATTAACTTTTTTTTCAATGATTTGACCATATCACCGAAGAAACCCCTTGATCATTGAAGCTTGTTCCCACCGATCATGTTACCTGAATATATTCAAAACATTTGAATCTGATTTTCAATATGGCAGCCAAGACAGTCATATTGAAAAACCTATTTATGATCACTACTTTTGGTTCAATATATAAAACAATTTATTGTGACGTTTATGTGATATAACAATTTCCCATTTAATGAGAAAGTGATCACATGACCATGAAACTGACATTCTGACATTCATATGTTATTCACGATCTGTATTCTAGAAACTATGTTGACACTGACGGACTTCTTCCACATTTTGTCATCTTGTAAGAAGAGTAAACCATCAAAGTAGAAGGTGTCAGTTGGCAATACCCACACTCACACTCAATACCTGCTTACCCAGGGAATACTAGGAAACAGTGTCTGAGCTCCGCCATTCCTCCTTGGGTTCTGCTGTTGCTATTATAGGGAACCTTCCAAAACAAGACATGTTGCTGCTGGATGAGTTTCATTTGGATCTTCCGCATGGAAGGTCAAGTCATCTCAATCTTTTCCTATCGAACCAAGTGACGAATGCCAATGCCCAGATGCGGGGCAGAGGCAAGCCCATCTCCTGAGGAAGAGGGTCTCACCATGGCTGACTCACAACTGAGCCCTCACAATCCTATCGACTTGGCTTTATCATAGGATCTTGATTACAGATTACCATACTTCAAACTAGTGCCAAAGACAGGACCAGTTGGAGGTCGTCTACTGTCGTACGCCAAAAATTGCAAGCACATCTTACATCAGTAACCACTGGTTACTCAAAATTGTTGCAGGTTACAAGTGGCATTTCCATCAATGTCAAGTACTTGTGACCCTGCCTGTATGCCGTCATTCCCATCTAAAGGGAGCCATGTTGGTGGCCCCTACTTGGCCAAACAGACTTACGATCACAGGGTTCAACTTCCCAGTCTTTCTGGTTCCAAAGAAAAATGCCCCGGAAATTTGCATGATCATGGATCTCAAGGTCCTCAACAAATTTTCTCGTATGTCTGGCAAGATTCCATATGGAAACAGTCAAAAAGCTCAGCACCTCTCTCAGGTAAGGAAACATCAGTCTGGACCTACAGGATACCTAACTTAATGTTCCCCAACATCCAAGTTTTCGTCATTACCTGCGTTTCGCAGTCAACAACCAAAGGTTTTCGGGGTTTGAGTTCAGAGTTCCCCCATTCGGCATCTCCACATCTTCCTGAGGCAGAGAGTTAACTGACTATAAAAGTCCAGTATCCACCCTTGCTGAAATAGGCTGGTGTTATGGAGTTACATTTTGGCTGGACTAACCAGTTTATGCATAGTCCAATCAAAATCGTGCAACGAAATCGAAATCGAAATCTGGTTCGTAAACTTCTGTGCAGATTTAGGTCGATTGCAGGATTTGCAAAGCATGTGCACCACAAACTCGTTGCTAACAGATATTTTCCAAACCTTTTCATGTTTTTAATCAAGGTGCTCATTTAATGCACTTCGCGATGTAAGCCCCGTTTGATCACAATATAGATCTTGATTATCGATCAGATCATCTTGACTGGACGCTGCCATTTTGTTTGAAACAAACGTAAGTGATGGAATTGGATTGGTCCGTAGGAGAGGCTCAGAAGGGACATAACTCATGATAACCACTGCTGGCGCTACGATCGAGCCCAGGAATTCCAGCCAAGTTCGGCAAGGGTGGAAACTGGACTTTAAAGTCAGTTAACTCTCTTGCCTCGGGAAGATGGCATCTCCATAGCCCCTTAGCTATTCACTCGGATCACCACCCCGATCATCAGGTTTGCCCATCTGTGTCCAACGGATACATAGACGATATTCTGTGAGCGGACCAAGAGAAGACGCAACTTTAATGAAACACCATTTTCCTTATGCAGTTGCAATCCTATCTAGAGTTTCTGGTACACACCGCCAAGCCTGAGCTAAAACCAGTACAGGATCTTGTATACATCTGGGCAACTTCACCGAGGTATATTAATTCCTCTAGAAGTAAGGCACCTGAAGGCAAAGGGCCTTGTTATGGATGTCGCATCATGTCTTGAAACTCAAGTGAATTGTGCATGTTATGTGACAAAAAATATGCTGATGTATGGATTGTGGAGTTGTAAGGATTGTGCAGTTGTATGGATTGTGCAGTTGTAAGGATTGTGCAGTTATAAGGATTGTGCTGATGTATGGATTGTGCTGTTGTAAGGATTGTGCATTTGTATGGATTGTGCAGTTGTAAGGATTGTGCAGATGTATGGATTGTGCAGTTGTATGGATTGTGCTGATGTAAGGATTGTGCAGTTGTAAGGATTGTGCATTTGTATGGATTGTGCAGTTGTATGGATTGTGCAGTTGTAAGGATTGTGCTGTTGTATGGATTGTGCTGATGTATGGATTGTGCATTTGTACCGATTGTGCAGGTGTATGGATTGTGCAGTTGTAAGGATTGTGCAGTTGTAAGGATTGTGCATTTGTATGGATTGTGCTGATGTATGGATTGTGCTGATGTATGGATTGTGCATTTGTATGGATTGTGCTGATGTATGGATTGTGCATATGTATTGATTGTGCAGCTGTATGGATTGTGCAGTTGTATGGATTGTGCAGATGTAAGGATTGTGCAGTTGTAAGGATTGTGCAGTTGTATGGATTGTGCAGTTGTATGGATTGTGCTGATGTATGGATTGTGCATTTGTATGGATTGTGCATTTGTATCGATTGTGCTGTTCTTAGGATTGTGCATTTGTATGGATTGTGCAGTTGTAAGGATTGTGCAGTTGTAAGGATTGTGCAGTTGTATGGATTGTGCAGATGTAAGGATTGTGCAGTTGTAAGGATTGTGCAGTTGTATGGATTGTGCAGTTGTAAGGATTGTGCTGATGTATGGATTGTGCATTTGTATGGATTGTGCATTTGTATGGATTGTGCATTTGTATGGATTATGCAGTTGTAAGGATTGTACAATTGTAAGGATTGTGCAGTTGTAAGGATTGTGAAGTTGTAAGGATTGTGCATTTGTAAGGATTGTGCATTTGTAAGGATTGTGCTGATGTATGGATTGTGCAGTTGTATGGATTGTGCATATGTATTGATTGTGCAGCTGTATGGATTGTGCATTTGTATCGATTGTGCAGTTGTATGGATTGTGCAGTTGTAAGGATTGTGCAGTTGTAAGGATTGTGCAGTTGTATGGATTGTGCTGATGTATGGATTGTGCATTTGTATGGATTGTGCATTTGTATCGATTGTGCAGTTGTAAGGATTGTGCATTTGTATGGATTGTGCAGTTGTAAGGATTGTGCAGTTGTAAGGATTGTGCAGTTGTATGGATTGTGCAGATGTAAGGATTGTGCTGATGTACGGATTGTGCAGTTGTAAGGATTGTGCATTTGTAAGGATTGTGCTGATGTATGGATTGTGCATTTGTATGGATTGTGCATTTGTATCGATTGTGCAGTTGTATGGATTATGCAGTTGTAAGGATTGTACAATTGTAAGGATTGTGCAGTTGTAAGGATTGTGAAGTTGTAAGGATTGTGCATTTGTAAGGATTGTGCATTTGTAAGGATTGTGCTGATGTATGGATTGTGCAGTTGTAAGGATTGTGCTGTTGTATGGATTGTGCTGATGTATGGATTGTGCATTTGTATCGATTGTGCAGTTGTATGGATTGTGCAGTTGTAAGGATTGTGCAGTTGTAAGGATTGTGCAGTTGTATGGATTGTGCAGTTGTAAGGACTGTGCAGTTGTATGGATTGTGCAGTTGTAAGGATTGTGCAGTTGTAAGGATTGTGCAGTTGTATGGATTGTGCAGTTGTAAGGATTGTGCAGTTGTGTGGATTGTGCAGTTGTAAGGATTGTGCTGTTGTATGGATTGTGCTGATGTACGGATTGTGCAGTTGTAAGGATTGTGCATTTGTAAGGATTGTGCTGTTGTAAGGATTGTGCAGTTGTAAGGATTGTGCAGTTGTATGGATTGTGCAGTTGTAAGGATTGTGCAGTTATATGGATTATGCAGTTGTAAGGATTGTGCAGTTATATGGATTATGCAGTTGTAAGGATTGTGCTGTTGTATGGATTGTGCTGATGTACGGATTGTGCAGTTGTATGGATTTTGCAGTTGTAAGGATTGTGCAGTTGTAAGGATTGTGCAGTTGTAGGGATTGTGCAACAATTTACACTGACTGAAAGGCTTGTAGTCGCACTCAACCCCTATTGTTTTAAAGAGGTAGTCGACTAGAAAATCTGTACTGAACTGTAGGACTGTAGGAAACAAAGACAGGAGCATTGAGCATCAAAAAGTAAAGTAAACAAACATTCAATCATATCAGTTTGAAATATCCCTTTAACGGAACTTGTTTTACTTTGAATGAAGATCCAGAGGGACATTAACCATTTTGGATTTTAGGACATTGATTGTTTTTTGCGAAGAAACGTTACAACTCCAAGACGATGTGTGCACATAGAAAGTTTTGTTGATTGAAAATTGAACAAATATTGAAACTGCCATTTGACAGAGACATAGACATCTGATGACCATATCGGTGTCTATTCTGCAGGAAAGAATTTGTGAAGAGAGTGCGTCCTTTGATCTGAGTTCGGTGGACATTGCCACAGCCATGGAAGAGACCACAAGGCTCATGGAGAAGGTGGTGGAGCTCAGCCAGACCGAGACTCAGGTGTCGGAGCTTGGGGAGTCAGCTGCAGGTGGGTCAGGTGTCGGAGCTGGGGGAGTCACCTGCAGGTCGGTCAGGTGTTGGGGCTGGAAGAGTCACCTGCAGGTGGGTCAGGTGTCGGAGCTGGGGGAGTCACCTGCAGGTAGGTCAGGTGTTGGAGCTTGGAGAGTTAACAGCTGGTGGGTCAAGTGTTGGAGCTGGGAGAGTCAGCTGCTGGTGGGTCAGGTGTCGGAGCTTGGGGAGTCACCTGCAGGTGGGTCAGGTGTCGGAGCTGGGAGAGTCAGCAGCTGGTGGGTCAGGTGTCAGAGCCGGGAGAGTCAGTTGCAGGTGGGTCAGGTGTCGGATATGGGAGAGTCAGCTGCTGGTTGGTCAGGTGTCGGAGCTTGGAGAGTCAGCAGCTGGTGGGTCAGGTATCGGAGCTGGGAGAGTCAGTTGCAGGTGGGTCAGGTGTCGGAGCTTGAAAAGTCACCTGCCGGTGGGTCAGGTGTCGGAGCTTGGAGAGTCACCTGCAGGTGGGTCAGGTGTTGGAGCTGGGGGAGTCAGCAGCTTGTGGGTCAGGTGTCGGAGGTCGGGGAGTCAGCTGCAGGTTGGTCAGGTGTCGGAGCTTGGAGAGTCACCTGCTGGTGGGTCAGGTGTCGGAGGTTGGGGAGTCAACTGCAGGTGGGTCAGGTGTCGGAGCTGGGAGAGTTAACAGCTGGTGGGTCAGGTGTCGGAGCTTGGGGAGTCACCTGCAGGTGGGTCAGGTGTCGGAGCTGGGAGAGTCAGCAGCTGGTGGGTCAGGTGTCAGAGCCGGGAGAGTCAGTTGCAGGTGGGTCAGGTGTCGGATATGGGAGAGTCAGCTGCTGGTGGGTCAGGTGTCGGAGCTTGGAGAGTCAGCAGCTGGTGGGTCAGGTATCGGAGCTGGGAGAGTCAGTTGCAGGTGGGTCAGGTGTCGGAGCTTGAAAAGTCATCTGCCGGTGGGTCAGGTGTCGGAGCTGGGAGAGTCACCTGCAGGTGGGTCAGGTGTTGGAGCTGGGGGAGTCAGCAGCTTGTGGGTCAGGTGTCTGAGGTCGGGGAGTCAGCTGCAGGTGGGTTAGGTGTCGGAGCTTGGAGAGTCACTTGCTGGTGGGTCAGGTGTCGGAGGTTGGGGAGTCAACTGCAGGTGGGTCAGGTGTTGGAGCTTGGAGAGTTAACAGCTGGTGGGTCAAGTGTCGGAGCTGGGAGAGTCAGCTGCAGGTGGGTCAGGTGTCGGAGCTGGGGGAGTCACCTGCAGGTGGGTCCGGTGTCGGAGCTTGGAGAGTCAGCAGCTGGTCAGGTGTCAGAGCTAGGAGAGTCAGTTGCAGGTGGGTCAGGTGTCGGAGCTTGGAGAGTCAGCAGCTGGTGGGTCAGGTGTCAGAGCTGGGAGAGTCAGTTGCAGGTGGGTCAGGTGTCGGAGCTTGAAAAGTCACCTGCAGGTTGGTCAGGTGTCGGAGATGGTGAGTCACCTGCAGGTGGGTCAGGTGTAGGAGCTGGGGGAGTCAGCAGCTTGTGGGTCAGGTGTCGGAGGTCGGGGAGTCAGCTGCAGGTGGGTCAGGTGTTGGAGCTTGGAGAGTCAGCAGCTGGTGGGTCAGGTGATGGAGCTTGGGGAGTCAGCTGCTGGTGTGTTAGTTGTTGGAGCTTGGGGAGTCACCTGCAGGTGGGTCAGGTGTCGGAGCTGGGAGAGTCAGCAGCTGGTGGGTCAGGTGTCAGAGCCGGGAGAGTCAGTTGCAGGTGGGTCAGGTGTCGGATATGGGAGAGTCAGCTGCTGGTTGGTCAGGTGTCGGAGCTTGGAGAGTCAGCAGCTGGTGGGTCAGGTATCGGAGCTGGGAGAGTCAGTTGCAGGTGGGTCAGGTGTCGGAGCTTGAAAAGTCACCTGCCGGTGGGTCAGGTGTCAGAGCTTGGAGAGTCACCTGCAGGTGGGTCAGGTGTTGGAGCTGGGGGAGTCAGCAGCTTGTGGGTCAGGTGTCGGAGGTCGGGGAGTCAGCTGCAGGTGGGTCAGGTGTCGGAGCTTGGAGAGTCACCTGCTGGTGGGTCAGGTGTCGGAGGTTGGGGAGTCAACTGCAGGTGGGTCAGGTGTTGGAGCTTGGAGAGTTAACAGCTGGTGGGTCAAGTGTCGGAGCTGGGAGAGTCAGCTGCTGGTGGGTCAGGTGTCGGAGCTTGGGGAGTCACCTGCAGGTGGGTCAGGTGTCAGAAGCTGGGAGAGTCAGCAGCTGGTGGGTCAGGTGTCAGAGCCAGGAGAGTCAGTTGCAGGTGGGTCAGGTGTCGGATATGGGAGAGTCAGCTGCTGGTTGGTCAGGTGTCGGAGCTTGGAGAGTCAGCAGCTGGTGGGTCAGGTATCGGAGCTGGGAGAGTCAGTTGCAGGTGGGTCAGGTGTCGGAGCTTGAAAAGTCACCTGCCGGTGGGTCAGGTGTCGGAGCTTGGAGAGTCACCTGCAGGTGGGTCAGGTGTTGGAGCTGGGGGAGTCAGCAGCCTGTGGGTCAGGTGTCGGAGGTCGGGGAGTCAGCTGCAGGTGGGTCAGGTGTCGGAGCTTGGAGAGTCACCTGCTGGTGGGTCAGGTGTCGGAGGTTGGGGAGTCAACTGCAGGTGGGTCAGGTGTTGGAGCTTGGAGAGTTAACAGCTGGTGGGTCAAGTGTCGGAGCTGGGAGAGTCAGCTGCTTGTGGGTCAGGTGTCGGAGCTGGGGGAGTCACCTGCAGGTGGGTCAGGTGTCGGAGCTTGGAGAGTCAGCAGCTGGTCAGGTGTCAGAGCTAGGAGAGTCAGTTGCAGGTGGGTCAGGTGTCGGAGCTTGGAGAGTCAGCAGCTGGTGGGTCAGGTGTCAGAGCTGGGAGAGTCAGTTGCAGGTGGGTCAGGTGTCGGAGCTTGAAAAGTCACCTGCAGGTTGGTCAGGTGTCGGAGATGGTGAGTCACCTGCAGGTGGGTCAGGTGTAGGAGCTGGGGGAGTCAGCAGCTTGTGGGTCAGGTGTCGGAGGTCGGGGAGTCAGCTGCAGGTGGGTCAGGTGTTGGAGCTTGGAGAGTCAGCAGCTGGTGGGTCAGGTGATGGAGCTTGGGGAGTCAGCTGCTGGTGTGTTAGTTGTTGGAGCTCGGGGAGTCAGCTGCAGGTGGGTCAGGTGTCGGAGCTCGGGGAATCACATGCAGGTGGGCCAGGTGTTGGGGCTGGGAGAGTTACCTGCAGGTGGGTCAGGTGTCGGAGCTGGGAGAGTCAGCAGCAGGTGTGTAAGTTGTTGGAGCTCGAGGAGTCAGCTGCAGGTGGGTCAGGTGTCTGAGCCAGGGGAGTCAGCTGCAGGTGTGTAAGTTGTTGGAGCCGGGGGAGTCAGCGTCAGGTGTCGGAGGTCGGGGAGTCAGCTGCAGGTGGGTCAGGTGTTGGAGCTGGGGGAGTCTGCTGCTGGTGTGTAAGCTGTTGGAGCTCGGGGAGTCAGCTGCAGGTGAGTCAGGTGTCGGAGCTTGGGGAGTCAGCAGCAGGTGGGTTAGGTGTTGGAGCCGGGGGAGTCAGCAGCAGGTGTGTCTTGTGATGGGAGGGAGTCAGCAGCAAGTGTGTCTTGTGATGGGAGGGAGTCAGCTACAATTGAGTTGTGTGATGGGAGGGAGTCAGCAGCAAGTGTGTCTTGTGATGGGAGGGAGTCAGCTACAATTGTGTTGTGTGATGGGAGGGAGTCAGCAGCAAGTGTGTCTTGTGATGGGAGGGAGTCAGCTGCAAGCATGTCTTTTGATGGGAGGGAGTCAGCACCAAGTGTGTCTTGTGATGGGAGGGAGTCAGCACCAAGTGTGTCTTGTGATGGGATGGAGTCAGCACCAAGTGTGTCTTGTGATGGGAGGGAGTCAGCAGCAAGCATGTCTTGTGATGGGAGGGAGTCAGCAGCAACTGTGTCTTGTTATGGGAGGGAGGCAGCACCAAGTGTGTCTTGTAATGCGAGGGAGTCAGCACCAAGTGTGTCTTGTAATGGGAGGGAGTCAGCACCAAGTGTGTCTTGTAATGGGAGGGAGTCAGCAGCAAGTGTGTCTTGTTATGGGAGGGAGACAGCAGCAAGTGTGTGTTGTAATGGGAGGGAGTCAGCAGCAAGTGTGTCTTGTTATGGGAGGGAGACAGCAGCAAGTGTGTGTTGTGATGGGAGGGAGTCAGCAGCAACTGTGTTGTGTGATGGGATGGAGTCAGCAGCAAGTGTGTGTTGTGATGGGAGGGAGTCAGCAGCAAGTGTGTCTTGTTATGGGAGGGAGACAGCAGCAAGTGTGTGTTGTGATGGGAGGGAGTCAGCAGCAACTGTGTTGTGTGATGGGATGGAGTCAGCAGCAAGTGTGTCTTGTGATGGGAGGGAGACAGCAGCAAGTGTGTCTTGTGATGGGAGGGAGTCAGCAGCAAGTATGTCTTGTGATGGGAGGGAGTCAGCAGTAAGTGTGTCTTGTAATGGGAGGGAGTCAGCAGCAAGTGTGTCTTGTGATGGGAGGGTGTTAACAGCAAGGGGGAATCTGTTCCAATTTTAATAAACTTGATTTACTCTTTCAGTTGAACCAGATTTTGATCTTGAGGACATCTTGAAACTGAAGGGTAAGTGTTACACTCTAGGTGACAAAATATAAGTGATTCTTAAATGTTATTTAATTGTTAGTCCACATGACTAAGGCTGAAAAAAAGAAAATTGGTTCTCAATCAAAAGCTTTTGAAAATATAGTGCTGGTGGGCTTCTCTTCTTTTTTTTTCTATTTTTTGGTTGTGTAAACACTAGTAAGAATACAAATCTGTATATTGCTGTGTATAAGACGAATTTTTCATAACTAGAATTAGGAGGCTTTCAAAATATGTGGGGGTGGGGTCGGGGTGGGGGCGTCTTATACACAGGATTGAGTATTTTATGGTTTTTTTTCCGCAACACAAAGACATTACTGTGGGCACGGAACACTGGAAATACCATGTCACCAAATCCGTACTGAAATACTCAAATAAATCATGTAATTACACTGTCTGGTTGTAGAAAGAATTCATAATATATCTCGACTTATGTTGGTTATCTATTTTATTAATTTTTTATGTAACTTTTCATTCCATATTGTTTCAATTGATTTCGGCAAAATCGTATGTGAAGTGATCAACAGATAACTCACCGTTATTTACAGCAACCACGGTCATATTACCGCTATTGACGCCTTGAAACGAACTTTAGTGGATAGAGAATGGATACTTATATATCATAAATGCCATACATTGAATTGCTGAAAGTCATACTTGTTGTAGTTTAACTATTATATGTCAACATTAAGTTTTCGCAATCGCGGGCGCATGGACAGTGATTGGTCAAATTCTTCCATTCGAAAACTTTTCCGGCAATGGCGATCAGCTGAACCAAAGTGCTACGCTTATGGTTATTAATTTATTTCACATATATACAGTAAAGCTGCAACTACACATGATATTGGAATAAATTATTCCTGATAAAATAATAGTTTCAGATACAATTCTTCCGCTCATTGTATAAAAATATTTTGACGTTATATTATTGGCCGAATCACCGGTTGATTCCGAGAAAAGTGTGTACAGCTGAATGCTTCTTCCTGCTTAGTTTACAAGACAAGACGCACGGTAATCTTAATCTCTGCATATAAGACAATGCCAATCAGAACAGGAAATACAATTTAATCGGCTTTAGTGATGTTTTATCTCAAATTTCAAATTTGTATTGACCAAGATTAATTGATATCTGTTCCGTTTCCTGAATTCGCTGAAGGGCTACAATGTAAAAAAAATTTCTGCGGAAGACAAAAACATTTTTATTGCAAATATAGAGATTTTGTATGCACTAGTGATGTGCTTTATTCTGATTCGCTTTATAGCCGGGGTATATAAATTAGCATCGATTTCCCGCTTATTTTACGAGACAAGTAACCTCTGGTATGAAACATTGTCCCTCATACAGTACACAAATACCATTGAATTTGTATTTGAATACCATCATCATGTCTAGTGATGTTGTATTGCAAATTTAATGTTTTCATTGACCAAATTCCTATTGCTGCCATGACCATAACACATGGGATGCGCATTAAAGCAGTGCGCATGGGAAGGGAAGTAACTGCACGTTATATTGGATCGCATTATTTTGAGTATTGTAGCATTTCACAGTTGAGGTCGTGTGTTCGAGATGCGGAACATTTAAGGATTTTTTGTTGTTGCTTTGAAAATGGAAATAAAAACGAAACGTGTGGCGGACTTAATGATGATGCGGCGGTGCCTGAGAACCAAGAATATTTTTATCCCCCGCCGGGCCAGAATGCCCGAAGGGGGATTATTTTGTGGCGCAGTCCGTCCGTCCGTCCGTCCGTCCGTCCCACAGAGGGTACTAAGCTTGTGAAATCAACTCCTACAGTTTCCAGAGAATATCCCTGACACTCTACACACAAGATGTCAACATGTTGATGATACGCATATCGCAGTCCCATTTCATTTCGCCTAATTTTGACAGAGTTACTGCCCCTGTTTTATGGAGCTTCTTTTGCCTAGTTGTGAGAGAGGTACTAAGCTTGTGAAATCAACTCCTCCACCAGCTTTTAGAGAATATCCCTGACACTCTACACACAAGATGTCAACATGTTGATGATACGCATATCGCAGTCCCATTTCATTTCGCCTAATTTTGACAGAGTTACTGCCCCTGTTTTACGGAGCTTCATTTGCCTAGTTGTGAGAGAGGTACTAAGCTTGTGAAATCAACTCCTCCACCAGCTTTTAGAGAATATCCCTGACACTCTACACACAAGATGTCAACATGTTGATGATACGCATATCGCAGTCCCGTTTCATTTCGACTAATTTTGACAGAGTAACTGCCCCTGTTTCACAGAGCTTCATGAAATCTACTCCTCCTCCAGTTTCCAGAGAATATCACAATATCTTACTATAACTATAACTATAGTTAGTTTCCTTGTATAAGGCTTTTGTGGGTGAGCTACATCCTTATGGCATTAGCATTCAGACTGGATTACTCCCAACAAAATGTTCTGCACAATTTGTTTCAAATACAGTGCCTTCTACTGTTGTTATTTCATAAAATACAAAGAAAATATAAACTCGTTAAAAAAATTCATTCGGGGGATGTGTTGTGCTCTCAGAGCCCTCTTGTTTTTTTAGCCTAAAAGTCAGATGGACTTGTGTTTTGGTATGCTGTCACTGAAACCAAATGGCCTTTGACCCTGATACTTTGCATGGATGATCATCGCTACCGCATGTCAAGTAGTGCTCACATCATTATGATTCTGAATTTCAACAAGGTCACCACAGCAGCCATCTTTTTTGTCCATTGCTCAGCCTGTTCTGTGTGTATCATTATGAAATGTCATATGCGTTAAGTATATACCATGCTCAATTCAACATTCTCATGCTGTCAACCTTTGACCTGCAGATACTGCTGTGGCTGTGAAAAGTTCTGTTGTGTCTTTTGTTATCCCCCCGGCATATAATGCGGGGGGATATAGCGGTCAGCCAGTCTGTCTGTCCGTCCGTCTGTCCGTAATCATTTCCTTTTCCGGGCAGACTTCCAAAACCATTCAGTGTATTTGATCAAAACTTGGCAAATCTATCAGGCACATACTGAAGTGGTGCCTTTTGATATTTTGGGATTTTTATAATTTTAATTTTTTTTAATTTTTATGGAATGAAGTTGGACATAGACTCAATTGGGGATGGGGTTCGTTTCCGGGGCAGAATTCCAAAACCATTCAGTGTATTTGATCAAAACTTGGCAAATCTATCAGGCACATACTGAAGTGGTGCCTTTTGATATTTTGGGATTTTTCTAATTTTTATTTTTTTAAATTTTTATGGAATGAAGTTGGACATAGACTCCATTGGGGAACGGGTTCGTTTCCGGGCCAGAATTCGAAAACCATTCAGTGGGTAAACAATGTATGCTTCTTAAAGAACATTCAACTGTTGACTCATTACATAGAGAATTGCACATTTACTAGTGGTTACTTTACAGACAGCTGCCGGGGGGATATGTCATCTTTCTGATGACTCTTGTATATTCTTGTATGACCTTTCTGATCTGACAAAATATGCCAAGAAAGTTCAGGTGAGCTACAGAGCCTTGTGGCTCTATTTTTATTGCAATATGTTGGAACCTTTTGTGTTATTGTACTGCACTTTGAAAGTTCAAAGATAATGTACATCTTTCTGACATTCTGACTTTTTGTAAAACCACTGCACTCTCTGTTTTTCAGAAACTCTACGACAGCTTGAAGAGAAAATAGATGAAATTCACATTCCAGGTGGAGGTCAAGGCCTCACAAAGCCAGGCATGTAGGTCAAGGTTACTGAAATTTGTTACAAAGAGTGAGACAGTGAGCGAATGAATTTTGTATTTTCAATACCACATCTGATCTAGATACTAGAAAACACAAGCAATGGTCCACACAGTCCTCTCCTACTAGTTAGAGCAGTTGTGTCCTACATGTTACAGTTGTGTCCTGTGTATTACAGTTTTGTCCTACATGTTACAGTTTTGTCCTACATGTTACAGTTGTGTCCTACGTGTTACAGTTATGTCCTACATGTTACAGTTATGTCCTACATGTTACAGTTATGTCCTACATGTAACAGTTGTGTCCTACATGTTACAGTTATGTCCTACATGTTACAGTTCTGTCCTACATGTTACAGTTGTGTCCTACGTGTTACAGTTATGTCCTACATGTAACAGTTGTGTCCTACATGTTACAGTTATGTCCTACATGTTACAGTTCTGTCCTACATGTAACAGTTATGTCCTACATGTTACAGTTATGTCCTACATGTTACAGTTTTGTCCTACATGTTACAGTTGTGTCCTACGTGTTACAGTTATGTCCTACATGTTACAGTTATGTCCTACATGTTACAGTTATGTCCTACGTGTTACAGTTATGTCCTACATGTAACAGTTGTGTCCTACATGTTACAGTTATGTCCTACATGTTACAGTTCTGTCCTACATGTAACAGTTATGTCCTACATGTTACAGTTATGTCCTACATGTTACAGTTTTGTCCTACATGTTACAGTTGTGTCCTACATGTTACAGTTATGTCCTACATGTTACAGTTATGTCCTACATGTTACAGTTATGTCCTACATGTAACAGTTGTGTCCTACATGTTACAGTTATGTCCTACATGTTACAGTTGTGTCCTACATGGTACAGTTGTGTCCTACATGTTACAGTTATGTCCTACATGTTACAGTTATGTCCTACATGTAACAGTTGTGTCCTACATGTTACAGTTATGTCCTACATGTTACAGTTATGTCCTACATGTTACAGTTGTGTCCTACATGTTACAGTTGTGTCCTACATGTTACAGTTGTGTCCTACATGCTACAGTTGTGTCCTACATGTGACAGTTGTGTCCTACATGTTACAGTTGTCTCCTAAATGTTACAGTTTTCTCCTACATGTTACAGTTATGTCCTACATGTTACAATTATGTCCTACATGTTACAGTTGTGTCCTACATGCTACAGTTGTGCCCTACATGTGACAGTTGTGTCCTACATGTGACAGTTGTGTCCTACGTGTTACAGTTGTGTCCTACATGTTACAGTTGTGTCCTACGTGTTACAGTTGTCTCCTACATGTAACAGTTGTGTCCTACATGTTACAATTGTTGTCCTACATGTTACAGTTGTGTCCTACATGTTACAGTTGTCTCCTACATGCTACATTTGTGTCCTAAATGCTACATTTGTGTCCTACATGTGACAGTTGTCTCCTACATGTTACAGTTTTTCCTACGTGTTACAGTTTTCTCCTTCATGTTACAGTTTTTTCCTACGTGTTACAGTTGTGTCCTACATGTTACAGTTGTCTCCTACATGCTACATTTGTGTCCTAAATGCTACATTTGTGTCCTACATGATACATTTGTGTCCTACATGTTACAGTTTTTTCCTATGTGTTACAGTTGTCTCCTACATGTTACAGTTGTGTCCTTTATGTTACAGTTGTGTCCTACATGTTACAGTTGTCTCCTACATGTTACAGTTGTGTCCTACGTGTTACAATTGTCTCCTACATGTTACAGTTGTGTCCTTTGTGTTACAGTTATGTCCTACATGTTACAGTTGTCCCTACATGTAACAGTTGTGTCCTACATGTTACAGTTTTCTCCTACATGTTACAGTTGTGTCCTACATGTTACAGTTGTGTCCTTTGTTGTTACAGTTTTCTCCTACATGTTACAGTTATGTCCTACATGTTACAGTTATGTCCTACATGTTACAGTTATGTCCTACATGTTACAATTGTTGTCCTACATGTTACAGTTGTGTCCTACATGTTACAGTTGTCTCCTACATGCTACATTTGTGTCCTAAATGCTACATTTGTGTCCTACATGTGACAGTTGTCTCCTACATGTTACAGTTTTTCCTACGTGTTACAGTTTTCTCCTTCATGTTACAGTTTTTTCCTACGTGTTACAGTTGTGTCCTACATGTTACAGTTGTCTCCTACATGCTACATTTGTGTCCTAAATGCTTCATTTGTGTCCTACATGATACATTTGTGTCCTACATGTTACAGTTTTTTCCTACGTGTTACAGTTGTCTCCTACATGTTACAGTTGTGTCCTTTATGTTACAGTTGTGTCCTACATGTTACAGTTGTCTCCTACATGTTACAGTTGTGTCCTACGTGTTACAATTGTCTCCTACATGTTACAGTTGTGTCCTTTGTGTTACAGTTATGTCCTACATGTTACAGTTGTCCCTACATGTAACAGTTGTGTCCTACGTGTTACAGTTGTGTCCTACATGTTACAGTTTTCTCCTACATGTTACAGTTATGTCCTACATGTTACAGTTGTGTCCTACGTGTTACAGTTGTGTCCTACATGTTACAGTTGTGTCCTACATGTTACAGTTGTGTCCTTTGTTGTTACAGTTTTCTCCTACATGTTACAGTTATGTCCTACATGTTACAGTTATGTCCTACATGTTACAGTTATGTCCTACATGTTACAATTGTTGTCCTACATGTTACAGTTGTGTCCTACATGTTACAGTTGTCTCCTACATGCTACATTTGTGTCCTAAATGCTACATTTGTGTCCTACATGTGACAGTTGTCTCCTACATGTTACAGTTTTTCCTACGTGTTACAGTTTTCTCCTTCATGTTACAGTTTTTTCCTACGTGTTACAGTTGTGTCCTACATGTTACAGTTGTCTCCTACATGCTACATTTGTGTCCTAAATGCTACATTTGTGTCCTACATGTTACATTTGTGTCCTACATGTTACAGTTTTTTCCTATGTGTTACAGTTGTCTCCTACATGTTACAGTTGTGTCCTTTATGTTACAGTTGTGTCCTACATGTTACAGTTTTTTCCTACATGTTACAGTTGTCTCCTACATGTTACAGTTGTCTCCTACATGTTACAGTTGTGTCCTACGTTTTACAATTGTTTCCTACATGTAACAGTTGTGTCCTTTATGTTACAGTTATGTCCTACATGTTACAGTTGTCCCTACAGGTAACAGTTGTGTCCTACATGTTACAGTTTTCTCCTACATGTTACAGTTGTGTCCTTTGATGTTACAGTTTTCTCCTACATGTTACAGTTGTGTCCTACATGTTACAGTTTTTTCCTACGTGTTACAGTTGTGTCCTACATGTTACAGTTGTGTCCTACTTGTGACAGTTGTGTCCTACGTGTTACAATTGTTTCCTACATGTTACAGCTGTGTCCTACGTCTTAGTTTTTCCCTATGTGTTACAGTTGTGTCCTAAATGCTACATTTGTGTCCTACATGTTACATTTGTGTCCTACATGTTACAGTTTTTTTCCTACGTGTTACAGTTGTGTCCTACATGTGACAGTTGTCTCCTACATGTTACAGTTGTGTCCTTCATGCTACAGTTATGTCCTACATGTTACAGTTGTCTCCTACATGTTACATTTGTGTCCTCGTGATACATTTGTGTCCTACATGTATCAGTTGTGTCCTTCTTGTTACAGCAGTTGCCTTTTATATGTTACAGGTTTATGTTTGAGTTGCTAGCCCAGGTGAACATCACATTTGAGACCAGAAGTTCTGTGTTGGATGTCCTGGATAAGGTGGTGGCGCATCTCAACAATGATGGTAATACCGTTAGTTCTTGTTGGGTACTTGTATATCTCTGAAATAGTTTCCTGCAATGTTTGGTGAAGGTGTTGGGGACACACAGGGACTTATCATGAATGTTGTTGTTCAATGCCACAATCAGCAATATTCCAGCTTTGTGACGGCGGTCAGTAAATAATCAAGTCTGGAGCAGACAATCCAGTGATTGACATCCAGAGCATCAATCTACGCAGTTTGGATATGATTACATGCACAAACCAAGTCAGCGAGCCTGACGGCCCAATCCCGTTAGTCTTTTCTTTTGACAAGCATAGTCGCCTTTCATGGCAAGCATGGGTTGCTGACTTATCCTGAATGATGAGATCTGATTGGTTCAGGTGAACTTTATAAAATACTATGTAACCCACCTGGGAGGGAAATAAATTTCTGAGCGGGAGAATAAATCCCTTGTACCCGCACTCAGGAGCTAAAGGTGGCATGTTGTTTACAAGTCAGTGAAAGTCACATGACACAGCACAAGTTAACCTCAGCTCATTCAAACAGCTGTTTTCTATCAATTTTGAATTTGTTTTAATTCTTTTACAATGGCAGATTAAAACATGTTAGTAAGATTGTAGCAGTATCACTGGGTGCACTTGTGGTTTTATGTGTCCCTCGTTATTATCCCCCGCCACGAAGTGGAAGGGGGATATAGGAATGGGTGCCGTCCTTCCGTATATCCATCTGTCCGTCCATCCGTCCATCACATTTCGTTTCCGGAGCAGAACACAAAAACCATGAGAGATATCTTAACCAAACTTGGCACCTAGATAGGTCTAGTGGTGAACTGGTGCCTGATTTTCGAGTTACTATGGCAACGATTTTGACTTAGATTGAAAATGGCAGTAGTCCTCGTTCTGGAGCAGATCTTGAAAACTGTACCATATTTCTTCACCAAACTTGACTCATAGATAGGTCTAGTGGTGAACTGGTGCCTTTTGATCGTTTGGGATTTTTTAAAAGATTATTTTTCGAGTTTCCCTTGCAACGACTTTGACTGAAAATGGCGATAGTCCTCGTTTCTGGAGCAGATCTTGAAAACCGTACAATATTTCTTCACCAAACTTGGCACATAATGTCATCTCGCAGTACTGAATACATTTCCTTTCTTGTTGGCAAGTTCTGCATTGCTTGTGTGTATGTTCCTCCAAAAGTGTCATGGACACGTTTGTCGCATTCACTTACTAACTTCTTGCAGAAACTTCAGGATCTCTCCAAGCAGCATGAATGTGAACATGTCCTAGTTACTGGGGATTTCAACTGTGATCTGAGTGAAAAACTGAAACTTGAAGATTTCTTTAATGTGCGGAAAATGACTCAATTCATTCACTCTCCAACTCGCTGTCTTGGAGCTACACTGGACTTGTTTACTGATCCTGCCAGTGCTGTAGCATTCCAGACTCCAGTCTACTACTCAGATCATCAGATGATTGATGCTGTACTTCTCAGTACACCTCATGGTGACCCCTGCTCTCATTGATCTCTAAGTAAAGTAAAAACTCCCTTACTTCTCTTAAGTAATAACACAACTCATTACAAATACAACAGTGTAACTGATCTTAAACATACTCAACTGTATAAACACTGCCTCCTGTCCTGTATATATTCTTGTCAACCATTCTCTGTACTTCACTTGCTTGATAACGGTGTTAGAACCTACACTGAAATGCCCATATGTCTCATCCTTACTCATTACAAATACAGTTACATATTCTATCATAAACTGCAGATGGCAAAACAACACCAGTAATAACTTTTTTTTAGTGCTGCAATTAGGCCATTTACAAAAAGGTCCAGTGAACATAGTTTACAGGAGTTAATACATTGCACACAACCGAACATGTCATATTGGCGGGGAACATGAGTATTTCATGCTTGTTTTGTATAGCACTTGCCTCTGGCTTGAGGTATAAAACCTAATGCGGGACGCATAAAACCACATCTACCTGACACACAGTGACTTTCCTAACTCACTGGGACTTGTTGGGACTGTAGTGACTCACTGGGACTTGTTGGGACTGTAGTGACTCACTGGGACTTGTTGGGACGGTAGTGACTCACTGGGACTTGTTAGAACTGTAGTGACTCACTGGGACTTGTTGAGACTGTAGTGACTCACTGGGACTTGTTGGGACTGTAGTGACTCACTGGGACTTGTTGGGACGGTAGTGACTCACTGGGACTTGTTAGAACTGTAGTGACTCACTGGGACTTGTTGGGACTGTAGTGACTCACTGGGACTTGTTGGGACGGTAGTGACTCACTGGGACTTGTTAGAACTGTAGTGACTCACTGGGACTTGTTGGGACTGTACTGACTCACTGGGACTTGTTGGGACTGTAGTGACTCACTGGGACTTGTTGGGACTGTAGTGACTCACTGGGACTTGTTGGGACTGTAGTGACTCACTGGGACTTGTTAGAACTGTACTGACTCACTGGGACTGTAGTGACTCACTGGGACTTGTTGGGACTGTAGTGACTCACTGGGACTTGTTGGGACTGTAGTGACTCACTGGGACTTGTTAGAACTGTACTGACTCACTGGGACTTGTTGGGACTGTAGTGACTCACTGGGGCTTGTTGGGACTGTACCGACTCACTGGGACTTGTTGGGACTGTACTGACTCACTGGGGCTTGTTGGGACTGTAGTGACTTACTGGGGCTTGTTTTTACAGGTTCTAGTAGCAGCCTTCACTCTAAGGGAGCTGGCCTCTCTAAGTTCATGGACACTCTGAAGGTGAGCATCCTTGTAGCTTCCTCTTCATCGAGGTACTCAGACAGGTGGATTAGCCTAATGACCACATTGCTATGAAGTATTGTCCAAGCCAGATTCTTCAATGTCTTTAAATACCCCTATGGGGATGTTTGTTTAAAGTTGGTCCCCAGCGATCTACACTTGTCATACACGACGGCTGAATAGCCCAGTTCTTTACTGACAAGATAGTGTCGATAGATGTAATGAAATGAGTATGTACTGTTGACCATTTAAGCAGCCCATGCTTGTCTTGAGAGATGACTAACAGGATTTGGTTTGGTTGATGAAAGTCATCATGTCCCGTTTGGGTAGATTAATGCTTACAATGTAAAGCACTGGATTGTCTGGTCCAGATTTACATTTACATTTACATACCGCCATCACGTAACTAGAATAATTGTTGAGTGCAGCATTAAACAACAAAGAAACAATCGCTTTTAAAATAAAACATTTTGTTAGAACATAATTAATTCATGGTATTGATATACATAATGAAATGATAAATACAGTTAATCATGGAAATTTTCATTTGTTTTTATAAAATATCACCTTGTTTCAACAAACGTGTAAGTATTCATTCACATAATGTTCATAATTGTTGTAGCAGTCCATAACGAGATTTATTACCCAAAGGGTTAGAAATAACCGAGTTAATAAAATTTGAATGTGCAGCAGACCAAATACAACTTGACAGGCTCCAGTGTGTTGTTTACGTCATCCAGATGTCATTGTTAACGTCATTTTAATCTTTTTGTGACGTAAGGTCGGCATGACGTCACACTAGAAATGTCTTAGGTGAAGATTGTTGACGTCATTCTAAAATGGGTATTTTTAAGATGGTGATCGTGATCAGTGCATTTTCTAAAGTGGAGCTCAAAAGGATTAAGAAATAATAATAAGAAAAAGGTAATAAAGAAATTATTACTTTCGCATGTGTGTCGTACTGATTTTATGAAACTTGTGTAAGAATTAATGAGTTACCCTCGTTCTCGCTTGGGAAATACAAGAGTTCTGACACTTGTTTCGTAATTTCAGTATGACACAAATGCGGGTATAAAAATCAAAATGTATTTCCCCAAGTACTCAGAGGATATCCACATGGGAAGATTAAGGAACTCATCCAACTATTGCTATATTGCTCTGTTCAACTGTTGTAATACTAATACGTTAAAGAAATGGCACCATACACCCACCACCCACCTGCCCATCGTTTTGATATCTTAAGACAATGTCTCGGTGGTCTCTTGGTGTGGAACTTGTATGAAGAGATTCAGTCCTACTCAAAAGGACATCATTTCACACTGTATATGTTGCCATAGCAACTCACATGAGATCTGTCAGACATGTTAGAAGCTATACAATGTGATTCAACATCCAAATGAATTTAATACCAAGTATTTATTGAATGAAATAAAATGGAAAACATTCACTGTATTTTCTGTTTGCTTGCTTGCTTTCATTATGCAGTTGGATGACTTGTGTAAGTCACTCATATGTGATTACAGATTGTGTTCAGTCAAGATGTGGGAAGTAACATGACCCTTGACCAACACATGGCAGCCGTAACACAGTCCTACAAGGTATGTCCATCAACATGACCCCCACCCAACTCGAGACACTGGTAACACAGTCCTACAAGGTATGTCCATCAACATGACCCCCACCCAACTCGAGACACTGGTAACACAGTCCTACAAGGTATGTCCATCAACATGACCCCCACCCAACTCGAGACACTGGTAACACAGTCCTACAAGGTATGTCCATCAACATGACCCCCACCCAACTCGAGACACTGGTAACACAGTCCTACAAGGTATGTCCATCAACATGACCCCCACCCAACTCGAGACACTGGTAACACAGTCCTACAAGGTATGTCCATCAACATGACCCCCACCCAACTCGAGACACTGGTAACACAGTCCTACAAGGTATGTCCATCAACATGACCCCCACCCAACTCGAGACACTGGTAACACAGTCCTACAAGGTATGTCCATCAACATGACCCCCACCAAACACCAGGCACTTGTAACACAGTCCTACAAGGTATGTCCATCAACATGACCCCCACCCATCTCCAGACACTTGTAACACAGTCCTACAAGGTATGTCCATCAACATGACCCCCACCCATCTCCAGACACTTGTAACACAGTCATACAAGGTATGTCCATCAACATGACCCCCACCCAACTCCAGACACTTGTAACACAGTCCTACAAGGTATGTCCATCAACATGACCCCCACCAAACACCAGACACTGGTAACACAGTCCCACAAGGTATGTCCGTCAACATGACCCCCACCCAACTCGAGACACTGGTAACACAGTCCTACAAGGTATGTCCGTCAACATGACCCCCACCCATCACCAGACAGTTGTAACACAGTCCTACAAGGTATGTCCATCAACATGACCCCCACCCAACTCGAGACACTGGTAACACAGTCCCACAAGGTATGTCCGTCAACATGACCCCCACCCAACACCAGACATTTGTAACACCGTCCTGCAGGGTATGTCCATCAACATGACCCCCACCCAACACCAGACATTTGTAACACCGTCCTGCAGGGTATGTCCGTCAACATGACCCTCATCAAACACCAGACATTTGTAACACCGTCCTGCAGGGTATGTGTGTCAACATGACCCCCACCCAACACCAGACATTTGTAACACCGTCCTGCAGGGTATGTGTGTCAACATGACCCCCACCCAACACCAGACAGTGGTAACACAGTCCTGCAGGGTATGTCCGTCAACATGACCCCCACCCAACACCAGACATTTGTAACACCGTCCTGCAGGGTATGTGTGTCAACATGACCCCCACCCAACACCAGACAGTGGTAACACAGTCCTGCAGGGTATGTCTATCAACATGACCCCCACCCAACACCAGACATTTGTAACACCGTCCTGCAGGGTATGTGTGTCAACATGACCCCCACCCAACACCAGACATTTGTAACACCGTCCCACAAGGTATGTCCATCAACATGACCCCCACCCAACGCCAGACACTGGTAACACAGTCCTACAAGGTATGTCCGTCAACATGACCCCCACCCATCACCAGACAGTTGTAACACAGTCCTACAAGGTATGTCCATCAACATGACCCCCACCCAACATGTGACGGTGGTAACACAGTCCCACAAGGAATGTCCGTCAACATGACCCCCACCCAACACCAGACATTTGTAACACCGTCCTGCAGGGTATGTGTGTCAACATGACCCCAACCCAACACCAGACAGTGGTAACACAGTCCTACAAGGTATGTCCATCAACATGACCCCCACCCAACTCGAGACACTGGTAACACAGTCCTACAAGGTATGTCCATCAACATGACCCCCACCCAACTCGAGACACTGGTAACACAGTCCTACAAGGTATGTCTATCAACATGACCCCCACCCAACACCAGACATTTGTTACACCGTCCTGCAGGGTATGTGTGTCAACATGACCCTCATCAAACAGCTGGCTCACTTATCGACAATGACATCTGTAATAGTGCTGATGGTGGCATCAAATAAAGTTCACTGTAAACATTACAGCCATTGAGGTACACTGAAAAAAGGCGAAAATAGTTTTCCGGAAACATATTACAGAATGTTGTTGTTTTTCCTTAGGTGCATCTGCACCTGAAGGAGAAGATGAAGAAGAAAACATCTGACCCTTGGGCATCGTCTGGCGGTGGGGAGAAACCAGAGAGAGTCCTCAGTTACTGGTGCTTTAGTCCAGGTCACAGCATGCGTGACCTTCAGTCCCATGGGGTCAAGGCCATCATTCTTACAAGTGGCACGCTCTCTCCCATTGAGTCATTCACCATGGAAATGCAAATGTGAGTTAGCTTTTGGGGATTTATGTTTAAATCTGTGTAGACAATCATTGGAGTATGCACTTGAAAATAGTAACAGTGAAAATACTTAAGGAAGAGAATTTATGGATGTCAACAAAACATTTTCAAATCACCCGATGAAGGAGTAAGTATATACCCTGAAACCTTGTGTTCCTAATAATAAAGAAGCTGACATCCATAACTTCCCTTCATTATGTGTATCACTTCTAAATGCCATTCATAGATGTGAAAATACTGTTTGTTTTCTTCCATTCTTCCATCAAGAATATAATGCCCACTTCTAGTTTTCAGTGGAAATCACTGAATATCAACATGATGTTATGTGTTACAGGCCTTTGTGTGTTACAGTCACTGTATTAGCTGTTGTGTGTTACAGCCCATTTGATGTTTGTTTGGAGAACCCCCATGTGATAGAGAAGGACCAGGTGTTCATCAGTGTCATCGGCAGGGGCCCCGACAACTCCATCCTCAATTCCAACTATGACAACAGGTATGTATAAGGGGGTTGACGTTCTGTCTTGACTGACCGTTAACTGAACACTTTAAATATTCTACTGTTTGACCTAGGCTTGTTGGTTTTGCAAAGATGTTGCTGAATTGTAGCCTGCATTAGTGCCTGTCTTCTGTCCACAGGTTCACTGTTTCCTACCAGACCTCTCTGGGCAACGCTGTATGTAAGTAGTGCTGCTGCCATGTCTGTCTTTGAGGTATACTGGGCCCATGTCTGTCAGGGAGGTAGTGCTGGTCCCATGTCTGTCAGGGAGGTAGTGCTGCTGCCATGTCTGTCTTTGAGGTATACTGGGCCCATGTCTGTCTTCGAGGTATACTGGGCCCATGTCTGTCAGGGAGGTAGTGCTGGTCCCATGTCTGTCAGGGAGGTAGTGCTGGTCCCATGTCTGTCAGGGAGGTAGTGCTGCTGCCATGTCTGTCTTTGAGGTATACTGGGCCCATGTCTGTCAGGGAGGTAGTGCTGGTCCCATGTCTGTCAGGGAGGTAGTGCTGCTGCCATGTCTGTCAGGGAGGTAGTGCTGCTGCCATGTCTGTCAGGGAGGTAGTGCTGCTGCCATGTCTGTCTTTGAGGTATACTGGGCCCATGTCTGTCTTTGAGGTATACTGGGCCCATGTCTGTCTTCGAGGTATACTGGGCCCATGTCTGTCAGGGAGGTAGTGCTGGTCCCATGTCTGTCAGGGAGGTAGTGCTGGTCCCATGTCTGTCAGGGAGGTAGTGCTGGTCCCATGTCTGTCAGGGAGGTAGTGCTGCTGCCATGTCTGTCTTTGAGGTATACTGGGCCCATGTCTGTCAGGGAGGTAGTGCTGGTCCCATGTCTGTCAGGTTGGTAGTGCTGCTGCCATGTCTGTCTTTGAGGTATACTGGGCCCATGTCTGTCAGGGAGGTAGTGCTGGTCCCATGTCTGTCAGGGAGGTAGTGCTGCTGCCATGTCTGTCTTAGAGGTATACTGGGCCCATGTCTGCCAGGGAGGTAGTGCTGGTCCCATGTCTGTCTTGAAGGTAATGCTGGGCCCATGTCTGTCATGGAGGTAGCACTGGGCCCATGTCTGCCTTAGAGGTAGTGATAGGCCAATGCCTGTCATGTGGGTTGTGCTGAACTCATGTCTGTCTTAGAGGTAGTGATGGGCCCATGCCTGTCATGTGGGTTGTGCTGGACCCATGTCTGTCTTAGAGGTAGTGATGGGCCCATGCCTGTCATATGGGTTGTGCTGAACCCATGTCTGTCTTAGAGGTAGTGATAGGCCCATGTCTGTCATGTGGGTTGTGCTGGACCCATGTCTGTCTTAGAGGTAGTGATGGGCCCATGCCTGTCATATGGGTTGTGCTGGACCCATGTCTGTCTTAGAGGTAGTGATAGGCCCATGTCTGTCATGTGGGTTGTGCTGGACCCATGTCTGCCTTAGAGGTAGTGATAGGCCCATGCCTGTCATGTGGGTTGTGCTGGACCCATGTCTGTCTTAGAGGTAGTGATAGGCCCATGCCTGTCATGTGGGTTGTGCTGGACCCATGTCTGTCTTAGAGGTTGTGAGAGGCCCATGCTTGTCATGTGGGCTGTGCTGGACCAATGTCTGTCTTAGAGGTAGTGATAGGCCCATGCCTGTCATGTGGGTTGTGCTGGACCCATGTCTGTCTTAGAGGTAGTGATAGGCCCATGCCTGTCATGTGGGTTGTGCTGGACCCATGTCTGTCTTAGAGGTAGTGATAGGCCCATGCCTGTCATGTGGGTTGTGCTGGACCCATGTCTGTCAGAGGTAGTGATAGGCCCATGTCTGTCATGTGGGTTGTGCTGGACCCATGTCTGCCTTAGAGGTAGTGATAGGCCCATGCCTGTCATGTGGGTTGTGCTGGACCCATGTCTGTCTTAGAGGTTGTGAGAGGCCCATGCCTGTCATGTGGGTTGTGCTGGACCCATGTCTGTCTTAGAGGTAGTGATAGGCCCATGTCTGTCATGTGGGTTGTGCTGGACCCATGTCTGCCTTAGAGGTAGTGATAGGCCCATGCCTGTCATGTGGGTTGTGCTGGACCCATGTCTGTCTTAGAGGTTGTTATGGGCCCATGCCTGTCATGTGGGTTGTGCTGGACCCATGTCTGTCTTAGAGGTAGTGATAGGCCCATGCCTGTCATGTGGGTTGTGCTGGACTCATGTCTGTCTTAGAGGTAGTGATAGGCCCATGTCTGTCATGTGGGTTGTGCTGGACCCATGTCTGTCTTAGAGGTAGTGATAGGCCCATGCCTGTCATGTGGGTTGTGCTGGCCCATGCCTGTCATGTGGGTTGTGCTGGACCCATGTCTGGACAGGTGATAATCAGTCAGGGTTTGCAGAGTATGACATGTCGCTACAATCGTCTTCTGTTTAAAGAGAGCAACAGTCAGCAAAACAGATGGCCAGCTGTCATCAAAGTCCATAAGTGCACCAACGTGGGCCTTCTTCCTCTAATGTCTACCCTATTTGTGTGTTGTCTTCCATCTGTGCGTAGTAAATTAACGGGATTTGCTATCGTGGAGTGAGTTGATATTGTTGTCGGAAGAAATGATGGATGATGTCATGGCTTGTCGTTATATGCCTCTTCTGCATTTTTTCAGTCAACTTTGCACGGGTCGTCCCAAATGGGCTGTTAGTGTTCTTCCCCTCCTACCCCGTCATGGAGAAGTGTGTGGAGTTTTGGCAGGTGAGTTGATGTCATGGAGGAGTGCGTGGGGTTCTGACAGGTGAGTTAATGTCATGGAGAAGTGTGTTGAGTTTTGGCAGGTGAGTTGATGTCATGGAGGAGTGTGTGGAGTTTTGGCAGGTGAGTTGATGTCATGGAGGAGTGCATGGAGTTCTGGCAGGGGAGTTGATGTCATGGAGGAGTATGTGGAGTTTTGGCAGGTGAGTTGATGTCATGGAGGAGTGCATGGAGTTCTGGCAGGTGAGTTGATGTCATAGAGAAGTGTGTGGAGTTTTGGCAGGTGAGTTAATGTCATGGAGGAGTGTGTGGAGTTCTGGCAGGGGAGTTGATGTCATCGAGGAGTGTGCGGAGTTCTGGCAGGGGAGTTGATGTCATGGTGGAGTTCTGACAGGGGAGTTGATGTCATGGAGGAGTTCTGACAGGGGAGTTGATGTCATGGAGGAGTGCGTAGAGTTCTGACAGGGGAGTTGATGTCATGGAGGAGTGTGTGGAGTTCTGGCAGGGGAGTTGATGTCATGGAGGAGTGTGTGGAGTTCTGGCAGGGGAGTTGATGTCATGGTGGAGTTCTGACAGGGGAGTTGATGTCATGGAGGAGTGCGTGCAGTTCTGGCAGGGGAGTTGATGTCATGGAGGAGTGTGTGGAGTTCTGACAGGGGAGTTGATGTCATGGAGGAGTGCGTGGAGTTCTGGCAGGGGAGTTGATGTCATGGTGGAGTTCTGACAGGGGAGTTGATGTCATCGAGGAGTGTGTGGAGTTCTGACAGGGGAGTTGATGTCATGGAGGAGTGCGTGCAGTTCTGGCAGGGGAGTTGATGTCATGGAGAAGTGTGTGGAGTTTTGACAGGGGAGTTGATGTCATGGAGGAGTGCGTGGAGTTCTGGCAGGGGAGTTGATGTCATGGAGAAGTGTGTGGAGTTCTGGCAGGGGAGTTGATGTCATCGAGGAGTGTGTGGAGTTCTGGCAGGGGAGTTGATGTCATGGAGAAGTGTGTGGAGTTCTGGCAGAGGAGTTGATGTCATGGAGAAGTGTGTGGAGTTCTGGCAGGGGAGTTGATGTCATCGAGGAGTGTGTGGAGTTCTGGCAGGGGAGTTGATGTCATGGTGGAGTTCTGACAGGGGAGTTAAAGTCATGGAGGAGTTCTGGCAGGGGAGTTGATGTCATGGAGGAGTGTGTGGAGTTCTGACAGGGGAGTTGATGTCATGGAGGAGTGTGTGGAGTTCTGGCAGGGGAGTTGATGTCATTGAGGAGTGTGTGGAGTTCTGGCAGGGGAGTTGATGTCATGGAGGAGTGTGTGGAGTTCTGGCAGGGGAGTGGAAGTCATTGAGGAGTGTGTGGAGTTCTGGCAGGGGAGTTGATGTCATCGAGGAGTGTGTGGAGTTCTGACAGGGGAGTTGATGTCATAGAGAAGTGTGTGGAGTTTTGACAGGGGAGTTGATGTCATGGAGGAGTGCGTGGAGCTCTGGCAGGGGAGTTGATGTCATGGAGAAGTGTGTGGAGTTCTGACAGGGGAGTTGATGTCATGGAGGAGTGTGTGGAGTTCTGGCAGGGGAGTTGATGTCATGGAGGAGTGTGTGGAGTTCTGACAGGGGAGTTGATGTCATGGAGGAGTGCATGGAGTTCTGGCAGGGGAGTTGATGTCATGGAGGAGTGTGTGGAGTTCTGGCAGGGGAGTTGATGTCATGGAGGAGTGTGTGGAGTTCTGGCAGGGGAGTTGATGTCATGGAGGAGTGTGTGGAGTTCTGACAGGGGAGTTGATGTCATGGAGGAGTGTGTGGAGTTCTGACAGGGGAGTTGATGTCATGGAGGAGTGTGTGGAGTTTTGACAGGGGAGTTGATGTCATGGAGGAGTGCGTGGAGTTCTGGCAGGGGAGTTGATGTCATGGAGAAGTGTGTGGAGTTCTGACAGGGGAGTTGATGTCATGGAGGAGTGTGTGGAGTTCTGACAGGGGAGTTGATGTCATGGAGGAGTGTGTGGAGTTTTGGCAGGGGAGTTGATGTCATGGTGGAGTTCTGGCAGGGGAGTTGATGTCATGGAGGAGTGCGTGGAGTTCTGGCAGGGGAGTTGATGTCATGGTGGAGTTCTGACAGGGGAGTTGATGTCATGGAGGAGTGCGTGGAGTTCTGACAGGGGGGTTGATGTCATGGAGGAGTGCGTGGAGTTCTGGCAGGGGAGTTGATGTCATGGTGGAGTTCTGGCAGGGGAGTTGATGTCATGGAGGAGTTCTGGCAGGGGAGTTGATGTCATGGTGGAGCTCTGGCAGGGGAGTTGATGTCATGGAGAAGTGTGTGGAGTTCTGACAGGGGAGTTGATGTCATGGAGGAGTGTGTGGAGTTCTGGCAGGGGAGTTGATGTCATGGAGGAGTGTGTGGAGTTCTGACAGGGGAGTTGATGTCATGGAGGAGTGCATAGAGTTCTGGCAGGGGAGTTGATGTCATGGAGGAGTGTGTGGAGTTCTGGCAGGGGAGTTGATGTCATGGAGGAGTGTGTGGAGTTCTGGCAGGGGAGTTGATGTCATGGAGGAGTGTGTGGAGTTCTGACAGGGGAGTTGATGTCATGGAGGAGTGTGTGGAGTTCTGACAGGGGAGTTGATGTCATGGAGGAGTGTGTGGAGTTTTGACAGGGGAGTTGATGTCATGGAGGAGTGCGTGGAGTTCTGGCAGGGGAGTTGATGTCATGGTGGAGTTCTGGCAGGGGAGTTGATGTCATGGAGGAGTTCTGGCAGGGGAGTTGATGTCATGGTGGAGTTCTGGCAGGGGAGTTGATGTCATGGAGGAGTGCGTGGAGTTCTGACAGGGGGGTTGATGTCATGGAGGAGTGCGGGTAGTTCTGACAGGGGAGTTGATGTCATGGAGGAGTGTGGGTAGTTCTGACAGGGGAGTTGATGTCATGGAGGAGTGCGGGTAGTTCTGACAGGGGAGTTGATGTCATGGAGGAGTGCGGGTAGTTCTGACAGGGGAGTTGATGTCATGGAGGAGTGTGTGGAGTTCTGGCAGGGGAGTTGATGTCATGGAGGAGTGCGGGTAGTTCTGACAGGGGGGTTGATGTCATGGAGGAGTGTGTGGAGTTCTGACAGGGGGGTTGATGTCATGGAGGAGTGTGTGGAGTTCTGACAGGGGAGTTGATTTCATGGAGGAGTGTGTGGAGTTCTGACAGGGGGGTTGATGTCATGGAGGAGTGCGGGTAGTTCTGACAGGGGGGTTGATGTCATGGAGGAGTGCGTGGAGTTCTTACAGGGGGGTTGATGTCATGGAGGAGTGTGGGTAGTTCTGACAGGGGGGTTGATGTCATGGAGGAGTGTGTGGAGTTCTGACAGGGGGGTTGATGTCATGGAGGAGTGCAGGTAGTTCTGACAGGGGGGTTGATGTCATGGAGGAGTGCGGGTAGTTCTGACAGGGGAGTTGATGTCATGGAGGAGTGTGGGTAGTTCTGACAGGGGAGTTGATGTCATGGAGGAGTGTGGGTAGTTCTGACAGGGGAGTTGATGTCATGGAGGAGTGCGGGTAGTTCTGACAGGGGAGTTCATGTCATGGAGGAGTGCGGGTAGTTCTGACAGGGGGGTTGATGTCATGGAGGAGTGCGGGTAGTTCTGACAGGGGGGTTGATGTCATGGAGGAGTGCGGGTAGTTCTGACAGCGGGGTTGATGTCATGGAGGAGTGCGGGTAGTTCTGACAGGGGAGTTCATGTCATGGAGGAGTGCGGGTAGTTCTGACAGGGGAGTTGATGTCATGGAGGAGTGCGGGTAGTTCTGACAGGGGAGTTCATGTCATGGAGGAGTGCGGGTAGTTCTGACAGGGGAGTTGATGTCATGGAGGAGTGCGGGTAGTTCTGACAGGGGAGTTCATGTCATGGAGGAGTGCGGTAGTTCTGACAGGGGGGTTGATGTCATGGAGGAGTGCGGGTAGTTCTGACAGGGGAGTTGATGTCATGGAGAGGTGTGGGACATTCCTCATATGAATTACTAGTTTGTCTGGCACAGGCTCGATTATTTACAAGCCGATATAGCTGAAATGTGATGGCTGCAAACATGATGTGCATTCAGAGGGACACACACACTTCTGAGTTAATTAATCAATGTCACTTGAAAACAGTAGCCCAACAGCTTTCATTATATGTTCAGGACAACAACATCTGGAGCAGGATCACCCAATACAAGCCGGTGTTTGTGGAGCCCCGGGGAAAAGTGGCCTTCACAGATGTGAGTAGTGCATTCATCAGCCTTCTAATATGTAACGTATGCTTGCACTCTCCTGTCTGTTCCTGTTATAGCTCAACTGGTTGTCAATGAGTGGAGCTTGTACCTTATCTTGTAGCTCCTCCTGCTGCCCACTCTGACATTTGTTTGCGGGACAAGAGCAATTACTTATATTTGAACAGTTCCTCAATAAAGACAAGGTCAAACAGTCATGGATTTCAATGGATGACAGGTGTCCTATATGATATATGTCAATGATTCATGCCATTGACATGATAATATTCATAGAGATTTTATTCATTAACAATTTACGTAATTGCAGAAGTCAATTTCTTCTGTCATGGTAACATTTTGATGACTCAGCCCCTTCCCTTCACCCCTGATCATGTTTCAAAACAAGAACAAACTGGTAAAATAAATAATTTATTTACATTATATGTACAGCTGCAATTGATGAACCAGATGCATGTACCGGTAACTGTAGGGTCAACTGTAATGACTGCATGGCTCAGGGCATACCTCATAGTGCATCTTTCAGATGACGACATCTATCTCTCTGTGTAGGGTGAAGAAAAGCAATAGGGATGTTATGATATATTGATACACAGGTTAACGACAATATCTGTATCGATACAAACTTGTTGAAATGTTTTTTAGAAAAATATATATACAGTGTAGAATTAGAGTTACGTCCCTTTGACAGACCGGTCATCATGGCTAATCTGGCAATCAAGTGTAAGCCCTGCAAACTTCAGTTGAGTTTTTGTTTGAAAGTGTCAAAGGTGAGCTGTGACATCATTTTATAAGATTTTAAAGCAATCCTGAAATGGCAGGTCTGTGGACAAATTGTCTTGCATTTCTGCCATTCCCTGATAAGACACTGCTGCTTCAAGGTGGCCATGATGAGTCAAACTGATGGCAATTTGGGATCAATGACTACAATGGAGGGATTTGGGCCGTGTTCCAACAAGGACCAAACAATACTATGTTGTCAGCAAGGGAAAGCCTCACAATAAATTTAACTTCAGATATATGTGTTCCAACATGTGAACCAAATGTATTTGTGTGCATTCTTGATTACAAAAAAAAAATGGCTCTCACTGCTACTAGAGTGCTTCTTCTGGGGTATCTGAGTCAAGTCACTGACCATTCCATCGAGTCTTCAGGGAAGTCATCCATGCCTGTGTGCAAGATGAAGATAAGATAATGAACGTAGAATATCAAAGTATTAGGTCAAGAAAAGTTTCATCATTGTGAATGTTATTTAGTACACGCTCTGTGAATGTTTCCAGGGTGATATATAGGTTTTCTTACGGTGACTAATCTGGTTTAATAATAGTTCTGTTGATGTCTGGATATCTGGAAGTTTATAGGAAGTATAATCTTGGTTATCAATTTATGCCAGTTTGGTTGCTAATGCTGAGTTTTTGTCTGCAAAGCTAACAAGAAGCCTGGTGACCTCTTGTGTCATGATGATTTTGGGCAGGAAGTTGTTGTGTCAAGACGTCCTTAAAACATGTTAAGATGTCATCATGGTGTTCCTGTTTCACTTACTAAATATTGCAAAAGCATGATACATCAAATCTGTGTTTCAGTGCAAGATTTACATGTGGTATTTTGGCATTCTTAGATATTAGCTTAACATAGCATTTACATCAAGCATTTTATGTATTTACCAAACATTTCTTTGCTGCAGTGTGGATTTTGTTCCTTTATGCTGGGGGACACCGCCATGAGCCACACTGCTGCTTGAATGATGAATGTTTGGTCAATGCATAGTTTGTGTTCATCATGAATGTTCCAGTAGAATTCAGGATAGCCCTTGGTGAGCATCGCGATGACCAGTGGCTTCCCCTTGTTTTCTACAACCACAGGGGCGCCAGATGCACCATGTCGGAAGTGGGTTCTCACAGGCAGAAGGTAATACTGGGCGAGGTCACCGTACCATTCACCATCGTACCGTTTACCGTTGTACCAGTTGCCACAGAAGCCCATCTGTTGCAGATGTTGACGAGCCAGAAGGCATTCTTCTATTGAAACTTGTACTGTCAGACAGTGCCTATCAACACGTTTCTGTGCATGTCCATCAAACCCCATGATGGTCACATTGTGTGAATCTACACTATCCAAGAGGTGAGACTGTGACATCAGAGGCAAAGGCGGAGGCAGTTGACATCCCTTGGGAACATCAAGTTCCAAAATAATCATGTCAAATTTCGGACTTTCATAAACAAAACCTTTGAAGTGTAATCGCACCCCTAAGTCTAACTGCAAGTAACTGTTTTCATGTTTTAACAGTTTTGCGATTGTTTCATGAGGACCTGAAATAGAAATATATAGACGTTGATAAAAGTACATCAATAACTGGAAAGTAATTGGTCTCAAGGACCCCATGCTTGACATAAGAAATGGCTCATGTGATAATGTGGCTGATTATGTGTGCCCGCATGACTGCACCATTGTTCATGCTATCAAGCACTTGGTTGTCTGGTCTAGATCGTTTACTGCCAAACATAGTTAAGGCCCATCCAATATTTTCATGTTACTATAGTTAAAAGTAGTATACATATGATATTGATAAGATTGAAAACAACATTCGCTCCCTTACTGAATATGCATTGCAATGAATCGAGGTTGTGATAAGGTTCTTGCTTTTTCCCCCATGTGATTTAACCCCACCCCACACTGCAGGGCAACGCAACGCAACACAACACGCAACACAACACAACACAAATAGTAGAACTTCATAAGAACTTACTTAGATTCCCCTGAAACTGGTAACCTGTAAATAGGTGCAAAGCTGTCATCACAAACGGACCTCCCACTATGAAGGCCGTTCCTGTACTTTTGGGAAGATGCAGCAGGCCAACTGACCGGTCAGTATGGGGAGTCCAGCGCTGCAGGCCGTCTGAAAGCAGATGGACATGTTACATCACCATCACAGGTTAGCTGGGTTCACGATGTGTGGGACTTGAGAACCATTGCTTCACTAAGCCATTAAGTCTCACAGGCCCTCGACTTCTGAGAGGAAGTTTGCGCAACAGAAGATGTGAAGGTTATCATCTGAATCTGCATCTGAATCCACATATAAAAGTTCAACCATCTCCCGACAAAGATACCTTCATTGAATATAAAACCACTTATATCACACTTGACAGTGGTGCCTCTTCGCCACTCGGCTGCAACAAGGCTGTTCATGTTAGCTGATGGGGCATTACAGACTCGCAGAATAACAGATTATTTGGCTTTAATGGTCTTAATGTGGGAACCTGGATATTGACATTCTCGCTGGCATTTCCTGTGTGAAGGCCATGACCAGCTGAACAACCTACAGCTCCCAGGACACCATACAGTACAATAGTGCCTCAGGTACAGCTGCAGCTTGTGGGAATATGGGACCAGTTCAACCTACACAAAGGAAAGGGCACATTCCCAGGTGTTCAAGCAACTGCTTTACTAACTGCAGAAACAACTGAACAAAACAGTGCTCTAGTGCCAAACCATGAGTAGGGCAGTCCCTTTGGTCATCGCTGCAGTCTTCACTGGGGAGTCAATCAGTTTCCCATGATTGGAACATGTAGTTCTGTACATTTGCCCATAATCTTATATAGACTTACAATAGTTGTCGTGCAAGTCCCCTATTTATCACACACACATGAAATGGTCAGTATTTTTCTCAGCTAGTTTGCTAGTGTTTTGTTAGGCATATAATGCATGCAATGCTTACCCTTCTTTTGTTCTGCTGCGATGTGCAGCAGTGGTGGACCACTGGTGGAACTAACTCAGCCTGTTGTGTTTAGAAACAGACTGATGACAGTATTACAGGGGCTTCCACTTTCTCCTGGTCCCAGCAAATGCTACATTGTGTCAGCTAGGCAGATATATAACATGTAGCTGTTGGAGCTGATCCTCCATAGTCTCCAAGCCTGACAATTAGACAGAGGCTTTAACATGGGTGCTGATCTGCTTTGTGGTAAATTCAGCCAGGAGAGCAGGAGAGGTTGCCATTGCGTGACATGTGCAGGCTTAACACAGCATCCTATGCGGCCCTAGAAGCTGCCTGCCTGAGCATTGGCTGTGAACCAAGAACTTGGTCCACTCCCAACATGCCAACATGGACATATTTGAGATATACACAGACAAGCAACTTTGGCCTCAACAAGCACTTGCAAAGATCTTTTACATAAACACGAGGCCAGGAATAACAGCCAGGAAAAGTCTGTCCTCCAACACAAAGAGTAGTGAAGATGAGCAGAACGATTTGGCAGACTCTTGATCCACAAGATGGATCCAAACCCATGCAATGAGTAAATATTTCTTGAAATAGTGTTCAGCACAAAGATATAATGCATTGAAAATATCTAAATATCTTTGTACTATGTAATATCATATCACTGGTGAAAGGAAAAAGTTGTAAGATATGAATGCAAGACAAGTAAAACCAAGTGGTGAAGACCTTTAGATATTATGCCTTTGTGCAGAATACCATGGATCATTTAAATGAAATTTTGGATTAAAATATTTTAGAGATCAGTGTTCTACATTTAACTTGCAGAACCTGAAGAGATACATATTTATTCTGACAATCTCAGTCCTACCAAGAATAAAGAAATGACGGCCAAGAAATCAGAAAATGCCAAAAGGATTCATGTCATTTTCTAAGTGCTTGGTTGTCTCATAATGGACAAGAGTTTTGTATGTCAACTCCATGTAGTTTTCACCTATTTGAGTGGGGAGGGAGCTAATTTGAGAAACAAAATGCACAAATCTATCTTTATGGACAGCTGTTTAATATTCAGAATCAAGATGTGAGCAATGGCAGTACCAGTACAAGAAGCATGCACATGCACCACTGTCATCATCTGGTCATCTATGAAACACCAGAAAAGTGGATGAAATCTACGCAAAGCTGAAGTGAACACTATAATATTTGAGGAGAGTATGTGACATTTGAGGAGTGTCATCTGAAAAACATGAAAAAGAATATGGTCTGGCTTTATCAGTTTAATACTCACAGCAAAACAAATTCTCTTTTATCATGTCGCAAAGACAAGTGACCAGTCTTTGTGACAATCAGTCGAGTCATGAATGTGTGACATTTGAAAAGTTAGCCAGACAAGTTAACCAGCTATATCCTGTATTCTGACACTGTTACTAAAGCACAGGAAGTCTTGTAACTGAGAGTTGTTTGATTGAAGTGTGACACAATTGAAGGTTTACAATAAATGATGCTTACAAAGTTATACCGGGAAAGCATTTGCTTTAGAAATCACATCGATTGACATGTTTTCATTGACATAATGAATTATGCACATAGACATAAAATATAGTAATTGCCAGTTCTCCACAAGTATACATGAGATTCTACAACCTGAATTATTTTCTTGATCACGAAGGAAGTTCAGGCGAAAACCACTTGCCGCCATTTTATATGTTAATGACTGCGTGCGCATACCTATGCTAAAATTATAACTTATGTAATTCGACTTTTCGACTCCAGGATTTCGGTGAAGGATAATAGTTTGCGAAGGTTCCAGCATCAGACACTGGGTCATCGGCTTACACAAAATTAATAGACACCCAGGCATCTATAAAAGGAAATACAGTACTTATCACTGAGCTGACCTCAAATAATATCACCAATGTTTCAACATTAAACAGAATAAACGCTGTGTCAATGGCTTACGCAAAAATAATAGAAAAATACGGAAAGGACATAGGTACTTATAATAGAGCTGACCTCCCATAACATTGACTTCCTGACATTATCAAATGTCAACCCAATTAATATGCAACAATCTGAGTGAGGGACATAATAAGGAAACACAGTATGTTTGTTTACAATGATGCATCTAAATTCATTTGATCATCAAAAGCATTCATATAGCATGCTTTAATATAGTTTGTGTTTTTAGTTCACCACAGTTTACACCATTTGAGTTTTTGTCATGGCCTGAATGTCCAACACTTTCCATAAACATCAGTGAGGCTATGTTTTCAGTTTTATGCCTTATTTGTATAATGACCTGAATTTGACCTTTTCGTGTTGCCTAATGTTTCTCTCAAAATATATGCTGGGTGGGCCTATTAACATTTTTATCCCCTGCCCCAACGAAATTTACGGGGGATATAGAAATGTGTTGTGTCTGTCCGTGCATGCGTGTGTGTGTGTGTGTGTGTGTGTGTGTGTGTGCGTCCCGAAATCGTTTCCGGAGCATAATGCTGAACTGGTGCCTTTTGCTATTTAGGAATTTTAGAAATTGTTATTTTTTACGTTTCCATGGCAACAAGTTGGATTTAGGTTCTGTAAGGGTGGTGTTCATTTCCCGAAACGGGTAAATACTTTCTTACAAAACTTTGCATGTCACCCAGGCACATACTGAACTGGTGCCTTTTGCTATTAAGGAATTTTAGAAATATTTATTTTTTACGTTTCCATGACAACAAGTTGGACTTAAGTTCTAAAAGGGTGGTGTTCATTTCCGGAGCATAACTCAGTAACTGTTAAATACTTTCTAACAAAACTTTGCATGTCTACCAGGCACATACTGAACTGGTGCCTTTTGATATTTAGCACTTTTAGAAAATTTTATTTGTTTCCATGGCAACAAGTTGGATTTAAGTTTTAATATAGGGTGGGTTCACTTATGGAGTATAACAAATAAACTGTTTAATATTTCCTTGCCAAACACAGCATGTCTATATATAAAGCACATACTGAACTGGTGCCATTTGATATTAAGGAGTTTTAGAAATGTTTATTTTAGAATTTCCATTGCAGCTTTTTTGACATGGGCTAAGAGAAATGTTGGGCCAGTTACCTGGTTTGGGACCATAACGTGTTAAAATGGGTGGGGGATATAGATAACTTCGTCGACTATATGCTTGTCCCACTGAAAATGCTGAAGAAATGACCCTGAAATTTGGCATGCTTGTTTCTGACTTGGCACTAGGGTTTGGTCAAGTTATTGCGTTTTGGGGGGCACGGGTGGCCCAATCCTCTAAGGCACCGTGATTGGCTGTGCAAAGTTGCTTCCCTTGGGCACGCCAGAAACCAATGATTGTGGGTTTGAATCCTGGTTCGGCCTGATTATGTTTCTAGGTTTTTCAGCACCATACCCGTGCTCGTGGTTTTCAACGAAGTGGTAAACGTCTGAGACCTGTATCACTTCGGGCTTTCCTCCCTTATTAAGCTGACACGCCGTGATATAACTGGAATAATGTTAAAAGCGGCGTTGAACTCAACTCACTCACTCAGTCACTCATTGTGTTTGTATTGTTATTTTGGGGTGTGTGTGTCTAAAATCAAAATGTGAAACACCTTCTCTTAAACAATAGATAATGAGCTGAAACTTTGTGGGTGTGACAATGGCTGTAAGTAGAGTCAAGTTTGTTCACAGAATCATAATCTACATTCAACATGTTGTAGAAAATAAGCTTGTGTGCTTTCAAATTTGGTGTAACATGTTTGTCGGCATGACCAGGTTGAAGGTTGCCCCATATTGAAGTTTTTGTCACCAAGCTTAGAAAATAGCTTTTCCAGTGTAGAGTACTATTTTGAAAATATTTTAGGCACTTGTAAAAGTTGTTTATATCATTGTCAGTGTCTATGTCTCTGTAACCTCATGTAGGTTGATACTTGGTGGTGGTGAGATACTAAATCTGTATGTCACAAATGTGTTCATTCTGATTGGATAAATGTGACCTCGCGAAGATCACACATGAACAAGCACATCAAACACTTCAATTTTGGTATGCCTTCATTAAATCATAACTAGGATCTACTACAGGATCCCATTCCACAAAGCGATCGTAGTGCTACGACTGTCGTAAGAGTATGATCGCTTTGTGGAATAGCGCCCTGAAATGTGATCAAGCTCTATCCATGTGACATGTGTACAGATAGATCAAGGTCTCTTGGTTGAGGCCTATGAGCACCATATGTACCCATCACTTGCGATTATCAATATTTGTTTTAATGTAACAAATTCATTGTGGCAAAGTGACAGTTTAGAATATTTGGAATGATATTTAGACTTTCTGTGTTTGCTCTGGGTGTGCTGTCATTCTCTGTCAAAGCATAATTATACCCCCGTTTACGAAGTAAATCGGGGGTATATAGCGTTTCGTTCGTCCGTCCATCCTTCCGTCCGTCCTTCCATCCAAGCTTTTGTATGGCCCATAACTTTTTAACCATGCACCCTAGCTTCACCAAACTTGCTACACACATTTACCCCAATGAGTACTTGTGCCTTTTGCTAGTTTGAAGATTCTGAACTTTTTAATTTTTGCCGTTTCCATGGACACATTAAGAAACTTAAACTTTTAGGGTGGGTGTTTTCACTGTTTTGTACGGCCTATATCTTTTTAACTATGCACCCTAGCTTCACAAAACTTTCTACACACATTAACCACAATGAGGACTTGTGCCTTTTGCTAGTTTGAAGATTCTGAATTTTTTTAATTTTTGCCGTTTCCATGGACACATTAGGAAACTTAAACTTTTAGGGTGGGTGTTTTGTACAGCCCATATCTTTTTAACTATGCATCCTAGCTTCACCAAACTTTCTACACACATTAACCACAATGAGTACTTGTGCCTTTTGCTAGTTTGAAGATTCTGATTTTTTTAATTTTTGCCGTTTCCATGAAATCATGGTGAAACATAAATTTTGGGTACAGTTTTTGTACGATCCATGTTTACAATATTATGTATCCTAGCTTCAAGGGGTCAACTGTCACTGGAACTTAATCTTAGGTTTTAAAACATTGAAGTTAAAATCAGTTAGAAATATGTAATATTTCATTAATTAACAAACTATTTACTATTTGTTGTTGACCAGCGGGGATAACGGGGGTATGTGAGCTTTGCTCACTTCTTTCTTGTTTGTGGCAGTTTTTGAAAGCGACTTCAGATATTATGTTCCAAAACATCCAAGATGTGAATATTAATATCTCATATTTTTATCTCAAGATTGAAATGCAGTGTGTAGATCATGATTCTTATTCTGATTGTGACCTTGCCCTTCATTTGAAGGTGTTACTGATAGGGCTAGGACACGTAACATGTTACTCAGGTCGGGTTGGTACAGAGTAGGACCCGGGTACCCACAGGACTACCCAGACCCGTGGTTAGTCATGTGACATATTGTTTAATGACAAAAACTATCTTGAACTATATGGTTACACTACAAGTCACCAATGTTTGCATAACTTTCTGACTATGCACCCATTCCTTCTGTCCTTTATATGTTTGAAGAAAGATAAGACTTCAGTCAACTTCAGTGTGTGCATGACCAGATCATTTTATATGTGTATCTAAATACATCTTGTCCAGGGCTACGGTCAAACTATTCCCAATCGGACATTTTGTACCTATCTCTTGACCTTCAGCGGATACCCGGGTAGGGTCAGGTAAAAGGGTGGTAGGTTCCCAGGTAGTAAATTTGGACTCCCAGATACAATATCCAAACAGAATCAAGTTAGTGTTCAGATTAGGGTGGTACAGCAATCACACTGATTTCCTTTTTCCACAATGGTAGTGACAGTACCGGTATGTACATTTAACAGATACAACCAAGAAACTCAATATGTTGATTGCTGAGCTGATGTGCCAGTCGTGGGAGGGACCAAGTTTAGCTGTTCTGCCAACTAACAAAACTAGGTAATTCGTAAATGAAGACGTTGATTGTTGTTAAGGTCATGTTCACACACCCAACAGCAGGAAAGTTTGTTAATGAGTTTGCATGGAAATGTTAACAATGCCTATGTTTGGGCATCTCTCAATATTCAAATGCAACTGGCCACAGGTTATGGTTTGGTCTGTTGAAAGTTAGAATTTGTTTGTCTGTTTACATTTATATACATTTTTTATGTGGGGAATAAATAAAATACCTGACTAATTCATAAGATACCATTTTTAGGAATCTTGTGAACTTGATGTTATCTTTCCTTCACTTGATCATGTACCATAGAAAGTCCATTATCATCGATAAATGTTATCTAATGAGAAATAGTGACCGTAGATAGACAGTTGTCTCAACATCTGCAGCTGTTGCTTACCTTTCCAGGGACCCCTGAAGAACTGGCCCTGGGATCATGAACTCTTAAGATTTAGAGATAAGACCATATTTTGTCTTAAATCGGGGATCACGAAGCTCAATTTATGAGAATATCTTAAGTCTAAGACAAAATTTGATCTTAAGTCCTAAGACTGCCCCTGAGTAGACTTAAGACAAAATTTGTTGCAAGAAAGATGGCGGAGGCTATTCACCTCATGCGTCGCCTCGGGGCTAAAAAGGAAAAAAATACCAATTCAGTGGACATTTCGAGACTGCTTCAATTCTGTTGATATGTACAACGACGAAGAGCTCTTTGAAAGTTATAGATTTCATCGGCCTACCATTTCTTTCATCGTTGATCTAACCGGTGATGAACTGGCATAGATTCTGCCCCACTCAGCGTTCCCAGTCTCCCACCTATTATTCAAGTTTTGATATTCCTTCAGTTTGTTGCCACTGGGGCTTTTCACCTTTTAGTTGCTCAGTCGTTTTGTGTCAGCCATATTGGATAGTGTTTACAAAATCATGTTATACTAACACCGCTAATGAGACGCAAATACCATCATGTATATTTCAAAATCAGCTGCGATACCTACATCCTTGAATACCTCATACATTTTAGAATCAAATGCCAAATGGTCTTTGTCACCAATACAAATTGTCTAGATGTAATGAAGCAAAATAAATGAGGTGTGAAAAGGAATGCTGAAAAAAGTGCACTTGTTGCAAACAAAGCCATTCGTCTATTCGTTGAGTACATTGGCTCAGTATTTTCAGAATATACACGGGAAGAGAATCGTAGGAAGAATTAGGGAATTAAAAATATATACATTGCAATGATTTGATATTTTCAACAGAACTTGTCGAAGTTCCCGCCCTGTGTGATGCCATGACTGACGCAAAATCACGCACAACGACAACAGTATTTATCGGAATTTCTGACTATTTCCATTGGTTTCAATGAAAAATATAACAACAAATAACAGTAGACAGATTGTCAGAATGTTTCTGATTACTTGCATGTCACATTTATGTACATACGAACCCTGAATCAACAAAAGTCCCCTCGTAAAATCCCACGCACTCCTGACAGTCAACACGCTATTTTGTAAAATTCGGTCACCGGTAGTGATGTCAAACTTCAACATATTTGTTGTACATATTTGGTAATTTCTCTGAGGTGAAGTTCCTTTAATGAAAGTAGACAGGATCATTGTTTACTGATTTTTACTGTTTCGTGGTGTAGATCTTGCATATCTTTTGTACATTTTTTCACACAATTAATTTCACTTTGGATATTAAACAATGTTCAATATGATATCATAAGTAGATATAGGCCACAACATATATGAAGGTTTGATAATCTCCTGTTTGTTTGAATGACGTTTACATATGAAATTGATAAGTTTATAGTGTCGTACACGATATTTCTTTAATGTGAACAAGTGTTACAAGGTGAAATGTAAATGTAACTGCAACATGTTTGTATTTCTAGGGAGTGTAATAGTCAATATTATAAGTTCATATGAATAGTGTCCATGAATAGCTGTTTCATTTTATTTTATAACTAAAACTGACAATATAACTTAACCAAAATGGATATTATTTTTCGTTCAATTATATGCACACATTTCTAGAAATTGGCTTGGTCTTGGATTTTTTTTATGCCGTTTGATATACAGAACAGTGATATCTGAGGATTCGCCAGGTGCACGTTTGTCACAAACAATCTATGAATTATTCCTCTCGCTTTGCATTATAAAATCAATGGGTTCATCCTTTTTAAAATATTGTGACCACAGGATTTTAAACTGTTAACTTTACTTCTTTAAGAATTGTAAAAAGTAAAAATGTAACCCGTGCCACATGTACCCCGTTGCTGGACGATTATCCTTATACGATTATCCTGATAATTCTATATCAATAGAGCTTTCTTCGCATCTTTATTGTATAATTTTGAGACAAGATGATGAGAAATATTTACATAATGACAGAACAAATACATACTTAATTACGTAAAATTGATGCCAAACAGGCGAGTGTCTTGTCCAATTAAGATACACTGAAAACTATCGAATTGTTTATCTATTCAAGATATAATTTACACGGTAAATGCAGTCTTTTATGTTGTGTCGAAAAAGCGTCAAATTCCGTTTTACACTCTTTTTCCATACCATGATCGAAAATTAGGGGAGATATGTATTAATCAAAATACCAGTGTCATCTTTCTCCAACATTGTCAAATGCATATAAGTAGCCATGTCGTCAACTAGAATGGTGTCATTTTTATGTAATTCATTACATTTGATTATATTACATTAGTGCTCCATTAATAATGGTGCAACATTAGTCAAATTACACTTGCACAATCAGGAGAATATTGGAATCTAAGGACTAATTTATGGTTTAGAAAGGGCCAACCATTTCAATATTACTTATCCTTTATGAAGAACTGTTTCGTCATTTCTTATAGGTTTTTTTTGTGCCTAAACGTATACAGTTTCAATATCGATATTTGTGTTGGAATAGTTTGGTTCCTCGTGAACAAAACACCATGAAAATGTATGTAAACTAGTGCTAAACATAGCAGAGTTATGCCCCCTTTTCTTTGAACGCGTGTACCCTCTCTGTCGCCTTTTGGTGTCATTGAGGGAAATCATTTTTTCATCAATTACGGCAGGCTATTTTTTGCATTGAGTATATGTTTTTATTTATATACCGTTGTTTAACGCCGCACAATATTCCAGCTATATGACGGCGGTCTGTAAATAATCGAGTCTGGACCAGACAATCCAATGATTGACATCATGAGCATCAATCCACGCAATTGGGACTGATGACATGCATCAACCAAGTCAGCGAGCCTGACCACCGGATCCCGTTAGTCGCCTCTTACGACAAGCATAGTCACCTTTTACGGCAAGCATGGATTGCTGAAGACCTATTCCACCTGGATCTTAACGGGTATAGCCAGAGGTAGATCCAGTGCTGCATGAGTGCATTTCTCGCACAACCTTCACTTTTCTGATCTTAGGCAAATGTACGTCAGAGAAAAACTCGGCATCCAAAGATTACCGAAGTACGGTATGACTTGAGCGTGTCCATATCTCGACGGTCTTAGACTTAGCCTTAGCTGAGATTTTGCTACGACCGTTTCAAGATCCAGTCTTAGACTGAATCTTCGCAAAGCAAAATCTTAAAAACTTAAGCCAAAATTCGTGCTTAGGAAAATTTGAGCTAAGACCACTTGCATGATCCCGGGGCTTGGTCTTCAGCAAGCCATGCTTGTCGTAACAGGATCGGGTGCTCAGGCTCTCTGACTTGGTTGAAGCATGTCATTGTATCCCAATTGAGTAGATCAATGGTTATGATGTCAATCACTGGATCATCTGGTACAGACTCGATTATTTACAGACCGTCGTCATATAGCTGTAATATTGCTGAGTGTGGCATTAAACAACAAAGAAGCAAAACCTCCCAAAGTGAACTTCACATTTATGAAGAAAATGTAATTTAACTCATCTGAGACATGTCAAAAAGGTTGAAAACAATAATTAGTTTGTTTGAGGCATCATGAACAGCTTGGGCTGCAAAGTGCATTCTGGAAGTTGGTCCTTGTAAAGTGCTTTCATGGTGATGATGCAATTATAAATATTGATAAGATATAACCTCCTCCGTGACCTTGTGGATAGAGCATCTGCCCCGAGAGCGGAATATCGGTGGTTCAATCCCCAGCCGCGTAATACCAAAAGCCTGACAATAGAATCTTTTGTATTGCCATTTAGTTCCATTGATGGAACTTGTCTAGTATGCAGGAGCAATCTATGCTGTTGAAGAGAGGGAACAGGACAATGTGGGTAGTCAGTAATGGTCTTTTTGTGGTGTTGATTTTGACCTTATTTTTGTCCCGTGTCATGCTGACAGGAACTTTTGTTATTTGTGTGTGTTTGTTCTTTCCACTATTGGCTACATGTCCAGGTGAGATGCAGTGCAGTGCAGTGCCACTCATTTTTCAAGTTTGAAAAGTGTGGTAACATGTAAAAAATATACAATACTTTCATCCATTAATGCTCCTGAAGAAAGAGGGCTTATGGTCATATTTTATCCTAATAAGTTGTTTTGTATTTCAGGCCATGGATGAATATTATGAAAAAATTAATGACCCAACCCAGAATGGTGCAATCTTCATGGCTGTGTGTCGGGGGAAGGTGAGTGGCACCAACACACCAATTCTGCCAATGTCATTACTTGAAAAGATGTTACAAATATTCTGAAAAAAATATTACCAATAAATTAGGCCTTTCTTTTTCTTTTTTACAGGAAAATAAATGTCTGTGGGGGTGGGGGGCAAGCGAGTCAATTTTATTTTTAGTTTTCTCCTCCACTACAGGTCGGCTGGTATAAAAAAAATAAACCTGAACATGGCGTGTCAAGTGATTACGCCTACAAACACAGATCTCTCAAATCTCTCGCTAACCAAAATGTCTTGCGTTTGGACATTATTTAGGTCACAGGAAGTTAAGAGGACACTCAAAACTAACAACTGAAGTGCCTTGTGCTTCCTCTCCTGTGCCTGTTCTTTGAAATTTGGATTCTGTTTCGAAAATCGTGGCCCTTGACCTGGTAAAATATATCTGTCAGAAGAGAGACATACACGGCAGATCAGCAAAGGGAATTGAAGTAACCTCCGCTAGTTTAAATAATCCTTGCAAACACATAGAGCTTCTACCTGTGAAGATCTGGGTTAGAATAGGTCTTCAGCAACCCATGTTTGTATAGATGCGACTAACAGGATTGGCTGGTTAACTCGCTGACTTGGTTGACGCATGTCATCGTCTCCCAATTGCGTAGATCGATGCTCATGGTGTTAATCACTGAATATTGCTGAGTTCGGCATTAAACAACAAACAAACTTCCATAGGTTTCTACTCAAAAATCTTATCATTAATAGTAGGTCCTTGCTCAGAAAATATCAGCTTATCTGCCGGATAAAAACAGAGCAAGTACAAACTTATTTTATTTCCATTTCAACAAAATTTGTAGTCAGCTGATCCGTAAAGGAAGTTGAAAAAAAGTGTGGCCCTAGATTATTTATTAACCTTGGTAGAGGCAGTAAAATAAGGATCAATTGTTTCAGCTTATTAAGGGAATAAGGTTGACAGATTTTGAGGAGAATTTTCAATTAATCATGTCAAAAGTGATTATTAATTTCAGACTCAAATTATCTCTGATGTTCTTAATTGCCTTAGTTTTGAGTTGGCGTCTGTGAGACAAGCTGCATGAGGCTCCCTCAAACACAATGATGATTCTCCACTGTAGTTTCATGATATGAGAACATGATAGTTCTTCTGTCCATGCTCCAGGTGAGTGAGGGTCTGGACTTCTCCGACAACAATGGCCGAGCTGTGATGATCACCGGCCTGCCCTATCCTCCCAGGATGGACCCACGCATCGTCCTCAAGATGCAGTTCCTGGATGAGATGAAGAGGAAGGCAGGCAGTAAGGTGAGACAGTTACCGGTAACTGACTTATTTATAAAGCAGCAGCATGTTGCTCCACCTAGGGACATCCTATTTGTTGGTGTACTGCTCTGCCTACCCCCTCTGTGTAAATATGAAGCATCAAAGCCAGAGAACAACCAGTCTGGATTATTCCCCTAAACAGATTCCATTTGGTCTAAAATGCTAAAATGGTGGTGAGTGAGTGAGTGAGTTTGGTTTAACGCCGCTTTTAACAGTATTCCAGTTATATCACGGCGTGTCAGCTTAATGTGGGAGGAAAGCCTGAAGTGATGCAGGTCTCAGACGTTTACCACTTCAGTGAAACCCACGAGCACAGGTATGGTGCTGACAAACCTAGAAACATAATTGGGGCAAACCAGGATTCGAACCCACAATCATAGGTTTCTGGCGTGTCCAAGGGATGCAACTCTGCACAGCGAATCACGGCGCCTTAGACGACTGGACCACCCGTGCCCCCAAAATGGGGGTGAAAATCATATGAATGGATCACTGAAAACCAGTGATGATGCCAATTGTTTGTGAAAAGGGCAAGCATGTCCTGCCTTACTGGTAGCACCGCCACTGTAACAATTTGCAGGTGTTTGTACATGTACGTGTTTGCGAGAGCTAACATCCATGTTTCAAACTAGACATATTCTTGCATGTGATTGGCTAAAATTGATGGTTAATAGCTAGAAGCATTGGACATTCTGTTTTAAACTTGTTGTGCATTAAATATGTGTTTTTATGGCCTGGAAGCTATGTCATTAACTTAACACAACTTTTGTTATTAAGACAGCTACAGACAATGGGACTGTTTCTCATCAAGTTGCTTGCTTGTGACATGAAGACCAGTGTCCAACACGCAACCTCACTGACTGGCACATCTGCCTATTGGCCTGTATAGGACACCAATCCTGTATATATTTAAGAAATAATGTTGACTCTACCCCTGTGCAGTGTAACAAAGTATACTTGGCCCTGAAGTATTATAGTTTAAGTACAAGGATGCTTGACGTTATAACAGTTCATGGCAAAACTAGTCTGTTTTTCACTTTGGACACAGTGGATGAATATGTTTGGGACAACCCCACAGAATGGTTGACATTGCCTTGCCATATTTCTTCCCAAAGAATAATATTCACATTTTCAACATGTTTAAAGAAACTATTTGACCAATTGACAATTGATGTGGATGTGCCCTCTGAATTGCCAGCAATGGTAGAATGATGTCAATAAGCATATGTTGGATCATGGGGAGGTGATTTGTGGTTTTGGTGAAACATCTTATGTGTATAAAATCCAGCTCTATGTATATAGCATCCAGCACCTAACTGCCCTGAGTGACACTGTTTGCTGTTGGTCTGCAGAGCCTGAGTGGCCAGTCCTGGTACCGCCAACAGGCCTCCCGGGCCGTCAACCAGGCCATCGGGCGGGTCATCCGACACAAGCAGGACTTTGGAGCGATTCTGCTCTGTGACACACGGTAGGTCGTTCTCCAGCATGACCAAACATTGTGATGGCAGAAGGAGTATCTCCTCTTTGTCCCGGATAACGATATTATTGCCCTTTAAATGTGCCCTCTCAATGTACTTTAAGGTACTGAGAACTCAGAATATATTTTGTGTCCAAAAGAAATTTCAAAAATACATTTGATTGGGTGTTGAATTCTTTTTTTGCCTTATGAAATTAAAGAAGAAACATTTTGCAACAGTTTGTACATGAATTAAGTGTGCCTGGCTGAGTGACCTGATGTGGAGAGTGTCTGTGTAAGTGTAGCTGGCTGATTGTCCTGATGTGGAGAGTGTCTGTGTAAGTGTAGCTGGCTGATTGTCCTGATGTGGAGAGTGTCTGTGTAAGTGTAGCTGGCTGAGTGTCCTGATGTGGAGAGTGTCTGTGTAAGTGTGGCTGGCTGAGTGTCCTCATATGGAGAGTGTCTGTGTAAGTGTAGCTGGCTGATTGTCCTGATGTGGAGAGTGTCTGTGTAAGTGTGCCTGGCTGAGTGACCTGATGTGGAGAGTGTCTGTGTAAGTGTAGCTGGCTGATTGTCCTGATGTGGTGAGTGTCTGTGTAAGTGTGGCTGGCTGATTGTCCTGATGTGGAGAGTGTCTGTGTAAGTGTAGCTGGCTGATTGTCCTGATGTGGAGAGTGTCTGTGTAAGTGTGGCTGGCTGAGTGACCTTATGTGGAGAGTGTCTGTGTAAGTGTGGCTGGCTGAGTGTCCTGATATGGAGAGTGTCTGTGTAAGTGTAGCTGGCTGATTGTCCTGATGTGGAGAGTGTCTGTGTAAGTGTGGCTGGCTGAGTGACCTGATGTGGAGAGTGTCTGTGTAAGTGTAGCTGGCTGATTGTCCTGATGTGGAGAGTGTCTGTGTAAGTGTGGCTGGCTGAGTGTCCTGATATGGAGAGTGTCTGTGTAAGTGTAGCTGGCTGATTGTCCTGATGTGGAGAGTGTCTGTGTAAGTGTGGCTGGCTGAGTGACCTGATGTGGAGAGTGTCTGTGTAAGTGTAGCTGGCTGATTGTCCTGATGTGGAGAGTGTCTGTGTAAGTGTGGCTGGCTGATTGTCCTGATATGGAGAGTGTCTGTGTAAGTGTGGCTGGCTGAGTGTCCTGATGCGGAGAGTGTCTGTGTAAGTGTAGCTGGCTGATTGTCCTGATATGGAGAGTGTCTGTGTAAGTGTGGCTGGCTGAGTGTCCTGATGTGGAGAGTGTCTGTGTAAGTGTAGCTGGCTGATTGTCCTGATATGGAGAGTGTCTGTGTAAGTGTGGCTGGCTGAGTGTCCTGATGTGGAGAGTGTCTGTGTAAGTGTGGCTGGCTGAGTGTCCTGATATGGAGAGTGTCTGTGTAAGTGTGGCTGGCTGAGTGTCCTGATGCGGAGAGTGTCTGTGTAAGTGTAGCTGGCTGAGTGTCCTGATATGGAGAGTGTCTGTGTAAGTGTGGCTGGCTGATTGTCCTGATGTGGAGAGTGTCTGTGTAAGTGTGGCTGGCTGAGTGTCCTGATATGGAGAGTGTCTGTGTAAGTGTAGCTGGCTGAGTGTCCTGATGTGGAGAGCGTCTGTGTAAGTGTAGCTGGCTGATTGTCCTGATATGGAGAGTGTCTGTGTAAGTGTAGCTGGCTGAGTGTCCTGATGTGGAGAGTGTCTGTGTAAGTGTAGCTGGCTGATTGTCCTGATGTGGAGAGTGTCTGTGTAAGTGTGCCTGGCTGAGTGACCTGATGTGGAGAGTGTCTGTGTAAGTGTGCCTGGCTGATTGTCCTGATGTGGTGAGTGTCTGTGTAAGTGTAGCTGGCTGAGTGACCTGATGTGGAGAGTGTCTGTGTAAGTGTGCCTGGCTGATTGTCCTGATGTGGTGAGTGTCTGTGTAAGTGTGGCTGGCTGATTGTCCTGATGTGGAGAGTGTCTGTGTAAGTGTAGCTGGCTGAGTGTCCTGATGTGGAGAGTGTCTGTGTAAGTGTGCCTGGCTGAGTGTCCTGATATGGAGAGTGTCTGTGTAAGTGTAGCTGGCTGAGTGTCCTGATGTGGAGAGTGTCTGTGTAAGTGTAGCTGGCTGAGTGACCTGATGTGGAGAGTGTCTGTGTAAGTGTGCCTGGCTGATTGTCCTGATGTGGAGAGTGTCTGTGTAAGTGTAGCTGGCTGATTGTCCTGATGTGGAGAGTGTCTGTGTAAGTGTGGCTGGCTGAGTGTCCTGATATGGAGAGTGTCTGTGTAAGTGTGGCTGGCTGAGTGTCCTGATGTGGAGAGTGTCTGTGTAAGTGTAGCTGGCTGATTGTCCTGATATGGAGAGTGTCTGTGTAAGTGTAGCTGGCTGATTGTCCTGATGTGGAGAGTGTCTGTGTAAGTGTGGCTGGCTGAGTGTCCTGATGTGGAGAGCATCTGTGTAAGTGTAGCTGGCTGAGTGTCCTGATGTGGAGAGTGGCTGTGTAAGTGTGGCTGGCTGAGTGTCCTGATATGGAGAGTGTCTGTGTAAGTGTAGCTGGCTGATTGTCCTGATGTGGAGAGTGTCTGTGTAAGTGTGGCTGGCTGATTGTCCTGATGTGGAGAGTGTCTGTGTAAGTGTAGCTGGCTGATTGTCCTGATGCGGAGAGTGTCTGTGTAAGTGTGGCTGGCTGAGTGTCCTGATGTGGAGAGTGTCTGTGTAAGTGTAGCTGGCTGATTGTCCTGATATGGAGAGTGTCTGTGTAAGTGTGGCTGGCTGAGTGTCCTGATATGGAGAGTGTCTGTGTAAGTGTAGCTGGCTGAGTGTCCTGATGTGGAGAGTGTCTGTGTAAGTGTGGCTGGCTGAGTGTCCTGATGTGGTGAGTGTCTGTGTAAGTGTAGCTGGCTGAGTGTCCTGATGTGGAGAGTGTCTGTGTAAGTGTAGCTGGCTGATTGTCCTGATGTGGAGAGCGTCTGTGTAAGTGTAGCTGGCTGATTGTCCTGATATGGAGAGTGTCTGTGTAAGTGTGGCTGGCTGAGTGACCTGATGCGGAGAGTGTCTGTGTAAGTGTAGCTGGCTGATTGTCCTGATATGGAGAGTGTCTGTGTAAGTGTAGCTGGCTGAGTGACCTGATGCGGAGAGTGTCTGTGTAAGTGTAGCTGGCTGAGTGACCTGATGCGGAGAGTGTCTGTGTAAGTGTAGCTGGCTGAGTGTCCTGATGTGGAGAGTGTCTGTGTAAGTGTAGCTGGCTGATTGTCCTGATGTGGAGAGTGTCTGTGTAAGTGTAGCTGGCTGATTGTCCTGATATGGAGAGTGTCTGTGTAAGTGTAGCTGGCTGAGTGTCCTGATGTGGAGAGTGTCTGTGTAAGTGTGGCTGGCTGAGTGTCCTGATGTGGAGAGCGTCTGTGTAAGTGTAGCTGGCTGAGTGTCCTGATGTGGAGAGTGTCTGTGTAAGTGTGGCTGGCTGAGTGACCTGATGTTAAAAGTGTCTGTGTAAGTGCGGCTGGCTGAGTGTCCTGATGTGGAGAGCGTCTGTGTAAGTGTAGCTGGCTGAGTGTCCTGATGCGGAGAGTGTCTGTGTAAGTGTAGCTGGCTGAGTGTCCTGATGCGGAGAGCGTCTGTGTAAGTGTAGCTGGCTGATTGTCCTGATGTGGAGAGCATCTGTGTAAGTGTGGCTGGCTGAGTGACCTGATGTTAAAAGTGTCTGTGTAAGTGTAGCTGGCTGAGTGTCCTGATGTGGAGAGTGTCTGTGTAAGTGTAGCTGGCTGAGTGTCCTGATGTGGAGAGTGTCTGTGTAAGTGTAGCTGGCTGATTGTCCTGATGTGGAGAGTGTCTGTGTAAGTGTGGCTGGCTGAGTGTCCTGATATGGAGAGTGTCTGTGTAAGTGTGGCTGGCTGAGTGTCCTGATGTTAAAAGTGTCTGTGTAAGTGTGGCTGGCTGAGTGTCCTGATGTGGAGAGTGTCTGTGTAAGTGTGCCTGGCTGAGTGTCCTGATATGGAGAGTGTCTGTGTAAGTGTAGCTGGCTGAGTGTCCTGATGTGGAGAGTGTCTGTGTAAGTGTAGCTGGCTGATTGTCCTGATGTGGAGAGTGTCTGTGTAAGTGTAGCTGGCTGAGTGTCCTGATATGGAGAGTGTCTGTGTAAGTGTAGCTGGCTGATTGTCCTGATGTGGAGAGCGTCTGTGTAAGTGTGGCTGGCTGAGTGACCTGATATGGAGAGTGTCTGTGTAAGTGTAGCTGGCTGATTGTCCTGATGTGGAGAGCGTCTGTGTAAGTGTGGCTGGCTGATTGTCCTGATGTGGAGAGTGTCTGTGTAAGTGTGGCTGGCTGAGTGTCCTGATATGGAGAGTGTCTGTGTAAGTGTAGCTGGCTGAGTGTCCTGATGTGGAGAGTGTCTGTGTAAGTGTAGCTGGCTGAGTGTCCTGATATGGAGAGTGTCTGTGTAAGTGTGGCTGGCTGATTGTCCTGATGTGGAGAGTGTCTGTGTAAGTGTGGCTGGCTGAGTGTCCTGATATGGAGAGTGTCTGTGTAAGTGTAGCTGGCTGATTGTCCTGATGTGGAGAGTGTCTGTGTAAGTGTGGCTGGCTGATTGTCCTGATGTGGAGAGTGTCTGTGTAAGTGTGGCTGGCTGAGTGTCCTGATATGGAGAGTGTCTGTGTAAGTGTAGCTGGCTGAGTGTCCTGATGCGGAGAGTGTCTGTGTAAGTGTAGCTGGCTGAGTGTCCTGATATGGAGAGCGTCTGTGTAAGTGTAGCTGGCTGATTGTCCTGATGTGGAGAGCATCTGTGTAAGTGTGGCTGGCTGAGTGACCTGATGTTAAAAGTGTCTGTGTAAGTGTAGCTGGCTGAGTGTCCTGATGTGGAGAGTGTCTGTGTAAGTGTAGCTGGCTGAGTGTCCTGATGTGGAGAGTGTCTGTGTAAGTGTAGCTGGCTGATTGTCCTGATGTGGAGAGTGTCTGTGTAAGTGTGGCTGGCTGAGTGTCCTGATATGGAGAGTGTCTGTGTAAGTGTGGCTGGCTGAGTGTCCTGATGTTAAAAGTGTCTGTGTAAGTGTGGCTGGCTGAGTGTCCTGATGT